TATATATATATATATAGCATATCTAGGGGTCAGTGATATCCGTGGCTTCAGATGTTCACTGAGGGTCTTGCCCACTTGGGTTAGAGTGACTACTGTATTTTGAAATCCTTCTCAAAGAAACAAAGTGTCCTGGGTCTGTTATTAGGCCCTCATGAAACTGTAAGGGGGGGTTGAAGACCCTGTGGAGACTCAGCAGAGGTTCTGAGGATACTGTCCACTGGGGGACTGAGTCTCCAGTCATCTCCTTTACTGTGAGTGTTCTTCTTTGTGTTTGGAATAGAGGTCCCCACCCATGAGCAGTGTGTCCTCCAGACTCATTTCAGAGTCTTGACTTAGAGATTTGAAGAGACTTGTTCTTCCTTTTTTTCCTGTTGAAGAACTTCAGAGAGCAGGGATTCTCCTGAGAACATCTCCCGAATTTCTCTAGGTTGCCAGCTTGCTCTTTTGTAAGAAGAGTGCTCTGGAAGCTTGAGAGATCTTTCATAAATGCTTTTTTGAACTGTGCCTTACTAATTGGCTAGAAATCCACTCACCATCCTAAACTTCATTTAATAAAAGGAATAAACCTGCTTTCATTTCAAAATGTTTTGAGCTGATATGGTAACTCATACTCTTACTCAGAGCTGACTGCCTCCATTTCCCCCTAATCTCGTGATGAACCATAACCCCCTGAGAATGTGATTTATCCCTCTCTACCACCTTCAGATTAATTTCATTAGCCACAAATGTTTGAGACTTTGCATAGCTTTAACTAGGTTCATCTCATCCCTGGTTGTAACAATTTGCTAACTGACTGTTATTTTAATTCTCCAGGAGTCTTGGATTTAATGTTCACTTTTGGCTATTTTCTTTTCAGACATGGATCCTACAAAAATCTGCACTGGGAAGGGAGCAGTGACTCTCCGGGCCTCATCATCCTACAGGGAAATCCCAAGCAGTAGCCCTGTGAGCCCTCAGGAAACCCCACAACATGAAATTAAGCCAGGTGCGCTCCCTATAAGACTGGGGTCAGATGTGCAGAGCCCCATGGGAAGGGCAAGAGGTCATCCTGCTTTTTCTCAGGGACTGTGAATTCATCAACCACCTCCTGAGTTTTTCAGTGGTTCCTGGGACAGTCAACTCCTTGTCCCTTTTGTGATGGCTATTGGTCCAAGCCCTGGACTGACAGGTAGTTGTGTGTTTTGTGTGAAATCAAAACAGTAATCTCCACTTTATCATAGCTTTGACTGAATAAATTGCCCGGTTACATGGACCAGTGCTTTGTAGATTGCAATCACGTTGACAGAGGTGGCTTAGGGCTGGGGGAGCACATGCTAAGCCAGGCCATAGGTTAGGCCTCTCTGAGCTCATCTCCGCTTCTGAAAAGTTGGCTGTGACCTGATTGGGAATGGCTGGGCCGTAGAAGGAGCCAGGGGAGACTGGGAAGTACAGGTGGCTGAATGACCTCACTCCCTAGAAAGCAGAGGCAACAGGGCTCAGGCTTAGAGTGGGCCCAGGCAGCCAAGGGAGCAGGATCAGGAGAGCAATTCAAAGACTAGTGCAGACTAGGAGCCAAGGGAGACCAAAGAAGCCTGTGTGACGTCCCCTGCCCACCTTGATTTACAACATGGGAAACCTGAGTGTCTGTTTCATGGTGTTGAGGTTTAGACCTGGGACTTTGTAATCCTGCTGATCTGCGATCACATCCTACCTCTGCCACCTGGTGGCTGTGCAACCTTGGCCAAGTTACTCTTTCTCTTTCATCCCTAATGATCTTGTCTGTGGCAAGTGGTGGATGTTATACCTGCCACACAGGAAGGATGGACGAGAAGGATGTGAAGTGCTTCACACCAGGCCTGATGGCATGGAATAAACCGTTAGTTGTTAGCTGCTGTTATTAGATTAGGATTAATTGGGCGCCTCTGATCAGGGCTTTTCACAGCCCAAGTATTCTGGGATCAGCAAATGCTGACTTTGTGGTTCCATGGGCAGTAAGTTTGGGGTGGGGCAGCCCCTCTCTACTCTGTAGGGCTGTGGTTCTCATGCTGTTTATCAGAACTACCTGGGGTTAAAGCACAGGTTGCTGGGCCCCAGTTCAGAGTTTTAGATTCTTGCTTATCCGTGTGAAGTGACAAGTTCTTAGGTCATGCTGATGCTGCTGGCCCAGGGACCTACATTTGAGAGCTGCTGCTAGGGGATGGAAGTTTTCTTTTTTTCTTGAATGACATAAGAGAAATTGAAATGAGGAACTGACCACTACTCCTTTGGAACCAGAGAGGAAAGGAAGTAGGAGATGCAAGCCCTTTTGATACAATACGAGACACATGTTGTGATAAGGTGGAATTATGCAGGATGGAAATGGTTAGTGCCCAGTGTCCTGAAAACTGACTTTCTTTCTGTTCTAGCTACCTATAACAGGTGCTGAGGTAGATACTTGAGGATAGGCCAGGCCAGGGTTGGAGCACAAGCCCCTTAATAGTAATGTTGGTACCTGTGGAGGGCTTCTTTCCTATAAGCCCAGGGAAGGGCACTAAAAAGTGATAGTGGCTTTTGGGTCCTGTGCTGACATCTAATTCCTGACCCAGTTCAGTTTGCTACTCTCTTCTCTAGGAAATGTAGGGGCAAGAAGAAGAGGTAAAAATATTTCTTTTAAGGTTCAAATCATCCTCTCTGGGCCTGAATAGGAAGTTACAGCTCCTAAGCTGGAGGGCATGTTGGTAAGAGAGTACCAAGGGATCCAAAGAGAAAAGCCATTCCTGCAGCCCCAGGTCCTGCAGGATGATCTTAACCTGGCCCATCCTCAGCCCTTGAGTGGGGTGGTGGAGGAGAGGGATCCTTGAGCTCCCTCTAGTGGTTGCAGTGTGGCACCAGTGTAAAGCACAAACGTTCCTCTCCACCAAGCGCAGGCTTGTGCTACAGAACTATGTGTGGACTGTAGGGGTTTAGGAAGTGCTTTCTTGTCCTAGAACATTCTGAAGCTTATGAATTTATACCAACTAATTTTGGTGAAAAAAGATTCCACCAAATCTTTACCAAATTATTTTAAAATGCTACTTGGAAGAATTGAGAGAGAGCTATCAGTCATGTGCACCTTACAGCAAATTCATCTTAGTATTTTTCGCCTGATAAATTGAGATCACTGAATCCAAATGAGCAGCATATGTTCATTCAGCATCATGTGTGTGCATGGGACAAGCACATCATGGGAATTGTGATTAGAAATAGAAAGAAGAGAGAAGAGAGAAAAAAAGGAAAGAGTAATTCTGGGTGCTTAGCAAGGATAAAAGGCAGTTTATTTCAACAGAAGCGTCAGGTGGGGCTTGTGGCCAGCTACCCTGCTTTCTGGCTGTGGGTAATTCACAGTGATTTTGAAGCCCATATAAAGTATGAGGAACTTGGGCAAGATGCTTTCCAAGCCTTTCTAGTTCCAAAATACACCATGACCTTGGAGAATTCGGAAATTAACCCAGCACAAATAGAATCCTATTGACTGGGTATAAATTTAAGATTGTACTCTTAGGCAGTTTGTATGGAAAGGGACAAGCTGGGTTTGAGTAGAGGAAACAAAAAAACCACACATCCTTATTAAAAGTACAAAGCAGGCTGGAATGCGCAGACACTGGGGAGTGAGGTTAAAAGAGGATATGACCGTAGAGATGGGACATTTAAGCATGGGGATCTCGTCCTCATACCATACTGTGCAGGGGCTGGCATCCTGCAGGCTCTGGATTTTGGCTGTGTCCTCATGGCTTCCTGCCCTCCTCTCATTCCTGCCTACTCCCTCCTTTTGAACCTCAGTGTGACAACTTGCCAGCTCACACCAGTCTGTCTTGGAGCCTGGGAGCCCCTGGGTCTTGACTGGCCTCATGAAAACACTTAATCAGTATTTGCAGACAGCATGTCCAGCCTGGACAGGGAGACCAAGTGTGAGGCAGTGAGTGGCTCTTGTCAAGGATTGGGCCTGCTTCCTACTCCCAATGCCTTTGGATACCTGATGTCAGATGGCATCCAGCTCCCTCCCTTATCACCAAGGCCAGTATATGTCCCCCAGCTGCTCTGTCTGCCTCCTCTTTGCTTTGTTCCCTGGATTTACCACCTTCTTACATCCCAAGGTCTCTAAATTGCTGATTATTTGCTTGGGCTACAAGCTCCAGTCTTGAAGTGTCCCCCCCCAGGAGCCACATTTTAGAGGTACAGCCTATTTTCAGTTCTTGCTCCAACTCCCTCATCCTGGGAGAGGTGATATAGCCCCTAGAACATGGAGCCCTTGGTCAAGCTCAACTCTGCTGCTTACTATCTTTGTGATATGACCCAATCAGTCAACCTTAGAGGGCTTTGGTTTTCTCATCTGTGAAGTGAGGATGATCATAATAGAGTTGTTGGGATTCAATGAGCTGTTTCATCTCAAGCATTCAGCACAGTGCCCAGCCCATGGCAAATTGTTCTTTAATGGTAACCGTTCTAGTTACCGTAGGTCAGGAGACTGTTGAAGAATTGAAATAATTTCATTTTGAGGCTATGAGGGCCTGGGCCAAGTGTTGGCAGCAGGGATGAAGAGCAGGGTAAAAGTGTACTCAGGAGGGTAATAAAAACAGGGTTCAAGGAGAGATAGGGCTTGGTGCTAGCTAGGGGGTGTCTTCCTTGGTTTTCTGGGGCAGGTGTGGCTCTCATGGAGATGGGGGATTTGTGAAGGAGTTGAAAGGAATGTTGAAATTCGTTTTTAGACATGTTGAATTTCCTGGCAAGGGAAGGGCTTCTAAGAGAACATTTTTAAAGGGAACATGGAAATTTGGGAGTGCAAGGTATGAATTTGGGAATCATCTGCTTTCAAGCAGATGGAGATATCCTCTACTTCCAAGCATGGAGGTATCCTCTGAGGTGGAATCAGAGGACAGGTAGAGCCCTCGTAGATGCTTAGTTTAAGCCCACTCTTTAGATTCCTGTTTTTGAGTGGTAGCTGGATTCCAGGTCCCTGACCAAGGCTTCCTGGCCAGTTTCCTCATCTCTGATCATGGACATTGGTTTTTGGATCAGAACCATCTAAAAAGAATGGCTATAATTCTAGTACTGACTCTATGCCCCTGGAAGAAGCTTCATTACCTTATCCTTACTTCCTGAACTCATTGCCTGGACAGATCTGTGTATTGGTTCTATCAGTTCAGAGCGACTCCACCCATGTCCCAGGTTGTAGGGTTTTTGTTCAAGGGAGGTAGGGAGCTTGAGGTGGTGTTGGGTGCAATGCCAGGCTCCTGTCTGGTGTAGCTTGAAGATCTTTTGGCTTGATAGGTCAGTTCTGACTCAAATGCTAAGGTCCAGTTCAGCTCTTAGCATTTGTAAATTCTATGTCAGTTGACCCCAATCCCACTGCCTGATTCTTCACTACAAAATTAGTTTTGACATGAAGATTTTGGGACCTAACAATCAACTCATTTCCACTGATTTGACTCTCACATTTGCTCTCCAGATAGGCAGTAGCAGAAAAATATCATAAGAAAATGGACATTGAAGCAGTTAAAGGTAACCCCACCCCCATTAAACCAGAGTGGGTTTTTATGAGTAAAAGTGTGAGAATTAAGCCAACAGAATTGGAGGGGAAAGTTTCCATGAGAGAGCACCCTCACTTCTGACACCCAACTGCAAATTCAAGGGATTCCCCAAATGACCATCAGGTTCAGTGAAAATGCTAGAAGGACTCAGGTAACTCACTGCAACTATTATACTCACAGTTACAGTTTGTTACAGGGATAGGGCAGAGATTAAAATCAGTCAAGAGAAATGTATAGTGTAGAGTGTGGGGCAGTTACAGGTTATGTCCCAGCATCAATGTATGACAGTATGCTGCGGGATATTGCCAATCAGAAAGTTCACCCAGGCCTTTGTGTCCAGAGTTCACACTGGCATACTCCACTGCCCACCTGGCAGATCTCAGTCCCCACCTCATTAGAAGGTGGAGCTGCTGTTGACTCCAAGGCCCCACCCCAAATTACATTACTGGTGTGGCTGAAAGCCGTCAGATAAACAAAGATGTTCCTCAGTTGTGAGATTCCAGAGGCTTAGTGTGAGATGACCTCTCAGAAGCAGAGGGCAAAGCCTGAACCTCTTTTTGGGGTAAATTAAATTCTCTATTGTACATCATGAATAAAAGAAAATAAGGCAGGAAACATCCTTAGACCCATATTTAATACCTGTCACCTACCTCTTGAGTATTCGACCAGAATACATCAAAACGGTCTCAGTAAAATTATCCTAGGATTCCAAGAACTGATAATCCAAAAAAAAAAAAAAAAAAAAAAAAACCACACGTGGGCATACACACACACACTCGTCAAAATGAAATTAGCACAGAATAAGATAAAAGAAAATATCAGGAGGCTCATAGCCACAGACCAGAAAAGATTGTAAATAAAGACCAGTGGAAGAAAAGATAAGGCAAAATAAATTATGTTTCAAATCTTATCTAGGACCTAACTCTGAAGCCTCTGTACTACCTAGGGAGCTCTGAGGTAACATTTATTGGAAACAGCATTTTGACACTTTCTTTAATGAGGAGTTAATAATTGATGATTATGTATGGAAAATTTCATCCTGCTGCACTCAGGCACAATTGGCCCTGGGCTGCTTTCTGCAAGACGAGGTAACAGGTGAGGGAGAATGAAACATCACAAATGCTCCTCTCCTTCAACAAGGGAGAGAGAATCACCTAAGAAGTCCTGGGAACTGCTATTTGAGGCCAGGGTTAAAAGAGCAGTTTCAAAGATTTGGAATGAGAAGGAAAAAAAGGTAGGATCCCCAAAGATATTATGTTCATGAAGCTATTTATCAAATGGCAGAGATCAGTAACTCTATGTAGATTTTCTTCCCCTTATACTTTGGATTCTAATTTTATAAAGCACATGCTTCATGCCCTATACTTTCATTTAGTCCTTATGACTCAAGAGAGAGTCTGTGTCTATTTCACAGGCGACGCTCGTCATCTGCTGCAAGGATGTACAGTGAATAAAACAGGGCTTTTGTGATACCTAGAGGTTTGGATGGACAATCATACTTTAACTTTCCATGACAAATCTGTTTGCGAGTGTCACTTCAAGAGAACCAACCTAAATGGGAACCAAAAAGTGGGTGAAATATTATATTCCCAAACCCATATACAAAATTTACATCCTTCATTGAGTAGCCCCTCAACCAGAACCTGTTGATACTTAGCGTATACATAAACCTAATATATTAAAAAAATGACCTGACAAAAGTAGATAAGGATATAGTAATTTAGGCCTGGGGATGTAGCTCAGTGGCAGAGTACTTGCTTAACATGCTCAGGACCCTGGGTTCCATCCCCAGCAGAAGAAAAGAAAGAAAGAAAAAAAAAAACAATTTAGAAAGAAGTTGGGATGGTAAAAATGATAAAGTGAGGAAGGATAGAGGGCCATTGTCACAGTGTGTCACCTATGTTGGAGGGCCTGCCAAATAGAAGAATTTCTTTGGGCCAAGCACCAGTAAATGTTAAATGTGAACCCTTCACATTCACATATCTGATCTCTGGATCCTTAGTAACCCTATGAGGAGCACCTGAATTAAGGATTATGTTTTGTACATGAGGAAAGTGAAATTTGGTGTAGTTTAAAAATTTATCCCAGTCATAGAAGCCAGCATGTTATAGTAATGTGAGCAAAACACAAGTCCTGTAAATTTCCTGACTTTGTGGTTGTGGCAGAGAAGACAAATAGCTATGAATCCACAGGGAGTGGCAGAAATATAACAGGCAATTTGTGAAATATAATTAAGCCCGGCATGGTGGCACACACCTATAATCTCAGCTATTCAGGAGGCTGAGGCAGAAGGATTGCAAGTTCAAGGCCTGCCTCAGCAACTTAGGCCCTGTCTAAAAATAAAAAGGACTGGGAATGTTGCTCAGAAGTAGAATGTTCCTGGGTTCAATCCCTAGTACCCAAAAAAAACAATAAAATGTACATATAAAGAGTATACAATCAAGTCATTTTGAGGGCAGAGAGAAAAAGGTAGATTTCAGGATAGTTTGAGTGAACCTTGTGTCATTGGTTCTTGTAGGCTGTGGACCACCAGCCTCATTATCCCTGGGAACTTGTTAAAAATGCAAATTCTTGGGTCTTACCTCTCTCACCCATTGAAATCAGAAAGGCTGGAAATGGGTCCTAGTAATCTGTATTTTAACAAATCTTACCCATGCTTCTGATGCAGGTAGATCTCTGCTGTTAATGGATACAAATCACTTAAAATCTTTACCCTTGCCTTGTCTTGCTCTGACACCACATATAAAACATACTCCTTACTTCCTCATATATAAAACATAATCCTTACTTCAGGTGCTCCTCATAGGGTTGCTAAGGATCCAGAGATCCTAGAATGTAGCTGCTTTTTTGTGTCTCATGATGAGGTTGGTGTCTGTGGGTGGGGGCAGGATACTGCACTTGAATTCTGGAGACCTGTGCTGACTGCTTTGTCCCTTCCTATGTGAGACTGTGAAGCTTTGGGCAAATCATTTGTCTAGTCTTTGTTATCTCATCTACAAAATAGGGTGATTATCTACCTTCCAGAGTTGGCATGTACACTAAATTAAATAGTAAATAAGTGTAAAAGTATCACAGTGTCTGGCACTTAAAAGGTATTCAGTAAATGTTTGTATCTCTCCACTTCATATCTGGAAAGTCCATCTCTGGTCACTAAGGGACCCACGTGGAAATGGAAGCTTGGGCTGCGAGAGCTACAGTATTAGTCCCCTCTTTATCTCTACATAGGAACACATAAAGATGCAGCCAGGGAGAAGAGGGAAGTTAAAGGATTGGCTCGATTAGGGGTGGGCAAACTGTGACCATGAATAAAATCCAGCCCACACATGTTTTTGTAGCCTATGAGTTAAGAATGGTGTTTGCATTTTTAAATGGTTGAAAGAAAATTCAAAAGAAGAATGATATTGTATGCCACATTGATAATTGGATGAAATTCAAATTTTATTGTCCATAAACTGGTGTATTGGGTCACAGCCATGCTCGTTCATTCATGGGTATCTGTAGTTCTCCTTGTGCTATGCTTTGATAGCAGAGTCAGGTACAGATGGAGTCCTTTATATGAAATGCTTGGGACCAGAAGTATTTCGAATTTCACATTCTGGAGTATTTGCATATGAATAATGAGCTATCTTAGGGATGGGACAGGACCCAAGTCTAAACATGAAATTCATGTGTGTTTCCAATATGCCATATACATACAGCCTGAGGGGGATTTTATACACTATTTTTTAGTGCTCCTGTGTTTTGACTGCATCCCATCACATGAATTTTCCACTTGTGGCATCACATTGGCACTCAAGAAGTTTCAGATTTTGGAGCATTTCAGATTTTTAGATCAGAGATGCTCAAACTGTGGCTGTGACTGAGACCATATGACCCACAAAACCTAAAAAGTTTATTATCTGGCCCTTTAGAGAAAGGGTTTATAGAGCCCTGGGCTAGCTGGAAGATAGAGTATCTGAAGACAAGAAGTGATGCAGAAGGTGATGATAAATAGCAAACATTCACCGAGTTTCACCAGGTGCTGTGCTAAGCATTTCATGTGCTTTATTTGATTATTGAAGCGGGCATATCATTATCCCCATTGTTTGGAGGGGCAAACTGAGTCTCACAACTTGCTCAAAGTCACAGAACCCATAGGTGGCAGAGCCAGGATATGGGGTCAGCCCATATCCCAGCTGAACATATAGTCACTGCATACTATTACGTTGTGGAGTGGGTGGCTCAACCAGAGAGAGGTTTATGGATTCTGAAGTGCATCAGGCAGTGGCTGGGAAGGCTGAAAGGCTACAGTGGTACCTTATAGCAGGATAAACACTCAGGAAAGGTGATTGGGTTTTAAATGTTAATGTGGCTTATTTAATCCAAAGAAAAGCAGGCAGGGACAGAGAAAAGGTTCTCTCACAGCGGCTACCTCTGGGCGTAAATCATGTTCTACCCAGCAAAACCACCCCTGGAAAATGAGCCTGGCCACTTCCTGTGCAGAGGCTGTCAGTCAGCCCAGTCTTCTAGTGAGGAGTGGTCATTCTGTGCCCACAGCAGGCCTGAGGAAGGGGAGCGAGAATTAGTAACTGGACAGTAGAGAGTTCTGTTGCCTTTCTGTCTGTAAAATAAGAATGTCAAGGAACAATTGTTTCTTCATTCCTGTGAATGTGAGCCTTGTGTTTTCAAAGGTCAGCGCCTGTGAGCACATCATGGTTTAGAGTGGGTTCCTATGGTAATCAGGCCATCGTGACTGAGGGCACTTTGTGTCAGACAATGGGGCGCTGGATTTTCGCCCTTCTATGTAGCTCATGCTTGTTTCCCGCAAATGTAACCACTTCTGTTTTTCCCCTTTTCTTCTTGCTTTCATCCTTTCTGCCCCACACATAGGTCTGGAGCCAGAGAATTCTTCAGCAGGTATGCTTTCTCTTGTACCCCTACTGTCTCTGCCTTCCACCAGGGACCCCCTGAACTAGAGGGGAACTGGGTGTGTTCCCTGAATGACAGTTTGTTTCTCCCCCCGTCTCTCAGATGAGTGGAGGCTCTCTTCCAATGCCGATGCCAATGGGAACGCCCAGCCCTCTTCACTTGCTGCCAAGGGCTACAGAAGTGTGCACCCCAGCCTTCCTGCTGACAAGCCCCAGGTAGGCACGTGCCCTCGGGAAGGGCGGGAGCTAGCCAGTGGTTCTCCAGTCTTGTAGCCTCGTGTGTGTGACTTTCTGCTTGTTCAGCTGGACCATGGAATAGGGTTCAAGGTCTTTAGCCAATTCTGGAAAGGCTCTGCAAAGACCAGAGTTAGGAGATTTGGGGCCAAGAGGAGCAGAGGTATTGGGATGAGGTTGTTCTGAACTAGGGTATTGGAAACGGGTCTGATATTTTCTAAGTTTGATATGTATGTGAAAATGTCCTGAAAGATGGAATCCATTCAGCCTTGAATAAGAAGGAAAAAGTCTGTGCTTGTTTTTAATTTATCTTTCGAGTGTAATAGTCAAGAGAAGAATACTTCTTGAGTTTATTTCATTCTCTAGAGTTGGGGCCATAAGAACTCCACCAACTGTGTTCTTACGGATTGAGATCAGCTAGCTGTGGTCAGACACAAAAGATCTACCCTATAACAGGAAATCCCCAAAGAGTACAACTCGGAGTTGGGATAATTTTGTTTAGGTCATTGCACCTATGTGGTTTTCCCTGTCTTTCCTCTTTCCCTTCCTATAGAACTTTGCCATTTTGATGAAAAGGATGACTCTTGTAATTCAGGTGATCTGTGAAGAATGGTTTTACATACAGGAGCCACTTCCATAGATGAAGTAGTTTTTTTCTCTTAAAGGAAGTGCCACTGCTCAAAAGATACTGCATCTTCCCTCTGAAGATGCCCCCAGAGCTCAGAAGGAGCCTGGAACTTCCATAGGTCCTTGCTAGTTCCCTCTCCTTTCTCTGGTGATCCTTTGACTTCTGCCAGAGGATGTAAAATTGCCCTAGCCCCTGTAATGAAACCAAATCAGAGGTGATGTCCTCCTCCTTCTCTGCAGACCTCTGTCAGCCTGGGCCTACTGTTGGTCACTTGTCTACCTTAGGTACTGAGCAGCACCATGAAGCTTTCTGTTACTTGTTATAATGTGATTCTCAAGTACAGCATGTCATTCAGGGTTCCTAGTTAGAACCCAGGAGCTGCAGGTGTGCCTGGCCTCCTGAAGTTCTCATTAGATACAGGGACCTGGGAGGTCAGTTGTTTGGTAAATGACTTGCCCTGGTTTTCCCATTTCTGAAAACTTTCTGAGTATATACATATGGTGCCTATGGCAGACATGCTTCATTCTCAGCTCCCTTTAGAATGGATACATCAATCAGCCGAGTGTGGTGGCATACACCTGTAATCCTGGCAGTTTGGGAGGCTGAGGCAGGAGGATCACAGGTTCAACAACCAGTCTCAGCAATTTGGTGAGGCCCTAAGCAACTCAGAGAGACCCTGTCTCAGAATAAAAAATTTAAAAAAGGGCTGGGGATGTGGCTCAGTGGTTAAGTACTTTTGGGTTCAATCCCTGGTACCAAAAAATAAGAATGGATGCAGACAGTACTGATAATTCAGAGCAAATCTGGAAGCACATCGTCATTTTCCATCAGTGCTTAGACCAAAGGGTAATTCAGTCATTTATTTTGACTTTGTAAATACCTCTTCTTAAGCAATCATTTTAAAAAACATGGGAGATAAAGAGAAATTCCTTTAAAATACATTTATTTAAGATGGCTTTATTACACACCTCTGTTATATTCAGATCACGCTGTTAAACATTGCCTTCAAGGAGTTCATAAGATTGAGCATCTATGATAGCTCCACAATTAGTGTATTTTTTATTGGTCACTAGGACTTCTTAAAAAGAACATGGGAAATGCTGATGGTAAAGGCTGGTATAGAGGCTTTATTCTGCATATTCAGTATAAAATTGTCCACTTAGGTCATGCATAACTTTTTAGGTTTATTTTATGAATAATTTCTTGACTCCATAGCCATTGCCAGAGATAAAAGTATGTTCAGGATTCAAGAAAGCTAAGGTGGGCTAGGCTGGGCACTTCCCAGGCTTGGATTTAGTGAAGAGAATTCTCATACCTCTGTGGGCCTGCATCAGCAGCATGAGAGTAGAGTTGAGTCTAGAAGACCACAGATGGGAATCCTGTGTCCTGCCAGCCTGCACTTGCTGCATTCCTCCTCCAGATCCAGGAACAGGGAAGCAAGGGTCCCCCTCATTGACATCCTCATCATGGTCCCCAGTGGAGGTGGGGATTAGCAGTTTGGGGAACTACAAAAACTATAAACATTCCAAAGTTTTCAAGAAGCCTCATTTTTTTTTTTCCCCCACTGACCTGCCTTGTAAAGAGATAAGTAGAATTTCATTAGTAGCCACTTGGGCAGGAATGCAAACTGCCTGTGTGGTTCCTACAATGTTTACAGTAAAATGAAAAGTAGTTCCTTTGAGTAAAGTCACTGTGTCTCTTACCCTCCTTCTTTAGGGTTAAAAGAAGCTCCAGGACAGGAAGTCCTTTGGCTCTGAGTGCATTGTCCACACTCTGGGGAAGCATCCTCTACAGGGTCACAACCCTGGAGGGCTCGTGCCTGATGTAATGCAGCTTTGTCACCATTTATGGTCACAGCTGAATTAAGTTAAGACTCATTGAAAAAGTAATTTCTATCTTTGGAAGAGAAGAACTCATATGTGAGACACTCGAGCTCAAAGTAAAAGTAAATCTGAACCCAAACCCAAATGGCCGCTTGCTTACTTCCTGACAACCTTCCCCATCAGTCCCTTTGGTATATGCTAGTCCAAGTACTTTGTTTCTGGAGAGCATCATCTGGTCTGTAGAGATGCTCCAACCTCCCATCCAAGTTCACTGAGCCAAGTGAATTAATCCGAAAGTTTTTGCTCTTGCTGTATACCAGAGAGGAGCTGTTCATTTTATATTTTCAGCTGGCATAAATAGCCAACTCCCCTACCACTGGCATGAGTACGCAGTAGACACAACAAGCATTGAGTTAGCTAAGAATATTCAAATAGGTGCTTCTAGGCCCAGATTATTTTTAATTTGAAAATTGAGTTTAAGGGATAGGCTGCTTACTCTTTTGGAGTTTCTATTCAAATCTAAACTCAAAAATTTTAAAAGATTTCTCACCCATTCACCCTGTCTAGCATCCCTTCCCCTTCCATGTACTCTATAAAATGTAAAAATAAAATTTAAAACGAACCCAAAATAGACCCATGCCCTTGTATTCTCCTAGTTTTGAGTCACAACTCATTTATCAGATATTTGCCAAGCTCTAATATCCCTCACCTGTGCAATTTGGAGGATGGTTTTCTTCTAGTGCTGGAATATCTGTAAAGATGGGGACCACTGAAGATAGTCTAGGGACATGAGCTTTCTTCATCTCATGGCCTCGTTCCCCATTGAGTCACAGGTTGAATGTTAGTCTGGAGAATCACCCTGCTTCCTGGCCATCTGTTCCCTGAGACTTAGAGAGGAGTGGTGTTGAGTGGAGAGGGATGGGATGTGAACTAAATCTCTGTGTCTCTGAAACTATAACCAGAGACCTGGGCTTAAGCCATGATTCTGAGGTTGATCTCTCAGCTCTAGGATTATGCATTATAGTGGGCTGACTAGGGCTTGAATTTGACAAACCAGACATAATTCAGTCCCATAGGCCAATTATTTTGGTGTCCTTTTCTGTGCACATCACAAAAGGGAGACTATGTGCTTTGAATCTCATGCTCGTCTTCCTTCTTCTGGGGTGTGTGTATGTATGTGTGTGTATGTGTGTGTGTGTGTGTGTTGCTGGGGATTGAACCCAGGGCTTTGTGCATGCTAAACAAGTGTTCTACCACAGAGTTACACCCCCAGTCCCTTCCTTCTAATAATTAGTTCCATTAGATTGTTTCCTCTAAGGAAAAAGCCCATGTGGATTCACAGTCCTCAGCATTCTCTTCTTGGTGGGCTTTAATTTGTTATCCTTAGGGAATGGAGGACCAACTCCCCATGCCTCAATGAAGACATTTGCCTCCTGGGAACACAAATAAGGACTGTTCTTCCAATTCTCCTTTTGCTAAGGGAAAAGAATAAAAGGCACTTACAAGTGTCTAACAAATATAAACTTTTAAAGATAAAGGCTTCAAGAGAAAAGTCTAAGGGAATGGAGGCTAGAGACAGAAGGGGGCTATAGAGCTTCCTCCATTGACATTTTGTTCCTTGGGCAACCCTCCTTGAGTCAGGAGGTTGACAAAGATGCAGCCAACCAAGGACTGGTGTTGGGTGTGTTTAGCCTGTTGTGTGCTGAGCTCAGCCTCTCTGGATGTGAGCCAGGCCAGCATTCCAGGTGAGTATGAGCCAGTCCTTGGCTTTGTCCAGAGGAGAACTGTGGGCATGAGGAGGAGACTAACCTGAAGTTGTCTAAAAACATGTCCAGGGATTTTTGTCTTCAGGTCACGTTATGCTGTTGTTTCTAATGGTCATCCTTTCCATCTCCCCTCCTCTTTCTTTTTTTCCCTGTATTTTTATCATGCCTTGAAAATACTACCAAAGGTTCTGTCTCCCTCACGTCCTCCTCTCCCTCAAGAGAACCGCTTTGCATGGCAGCCCCCCACCATCCGCAGTACCTACAAGGATTCCCTCTATATGAGCTCACCAAAGCCTTACATCCCACCCAGCACCCCCAGCCAGCAGAACCCCTCACCTCCCCAGCCTGTCTCTGGCCCTCTGACAGCTAGATTAGTTCCCAAAGATGTGGCGTGTCCTGGTCCTTTGCTTCTGGGTTCCACATTCCCCAGTGCTTCATCCCGACCCCAGCACCACTATGCAGCCACCAGGTTAGTTTATAGTAAGAATGTGAGCTCTAACCCACATCATGAGGCTGTCGGGAATAAAAAGGTCAGCAGCTTATATGTACCCAGTTTATCCAATAACATTTGCCGGGCGGCCTTGGAAAACTGTCCTGTTGCACGTGACCCAGCCAAAGACACTCCCTTGGAGGCTGCAGGCACCCGAGCACCAGCCCCCAGCCTTGTGCCCCGCACAGCCGGCACAGGAGAACCACCCCCTGCTCCTTCTCCTGACCCTCCCAAGCTGTTCTTTGACATCCATAAAGATGCCGGTAATCGTGGCGAGAGTCCTTCCATGAGGACTCGGGCTTCGTTCTCAGATGCAGTGAGACCATCTGTGCTAGGCCCCCAGGTTACCTCTGATCCCGAAAACCAGAAGAGCAGAGAACCCTACCTTTTGCAGCCGTGTTATCCAGCCAAGGCAAGAACTTAGGAATGTTTGTGTGTCTTCTTCACTGTCTCTTGAAACTGATGTGAGCAGTGCATTTGTTCTCTGGGCTGCTCCATCCTCCTTTTCCTTATTAATATTGCTGCAGCTTGAACCCCAAATCCTTCTCTCTAAACATCTCAGCACAGATCTCTCTCTGTCTCCCTCTCTTTTTTGTAAATATGTAAGTATGCTGGATCGTGGACTCCGTAGTCTGATAATCTGGTGGGATAACGGAGTGTTTCTATTTTATGACAAGGTGCCAGTGAAATTGTATCTGCTCCCAAGCTTTCAGGCTCGACAGTGGTTTTGTGGGGTTAAACACAGCCTGCTGCCTGTTCTGTTGTTCTGTCTCTTTCTCTCTCATAAAGTGTTAAAAGGATTCAAAAATAGATGGATGGAAAGTCAACTTGGACGGGGCTCCCTCTGTGTCATGGGGTATCAGGAGGCCAGCTGGCTAGCACCAACTGTCTCATGTACTCTGAGGAAAGGGCACCGATTAAATATTTCTCAGGGTACATCACTGCATGTCCACTCTCCACTGTTTAAATATGGAATTCCTTCCTCCCTGCCGGACCCCTTGACATAACGACCCCCTTATTTCCTACAGGATGCCACTTCCTCCAGCCCAGCCCAGCCCGAGGTAATAGTTGTCCCTCTCTACCTGGTTAATACTGACAGAGGGCAAGAAGGCACTGCCAGACCTCCAGCGTCCCTGGGGCCGCTTGGCTGCGCCCCGGCTGCCTCGGCGACCGCTGCCCCGGCCACCGCCCCTGCCGTGTCACCTCTGACCTTCCCGACTCTAGATGATTTCATCCCCCCTCATCTGCAGAGGCGGCCCCAGCACAGCCAGCCAGCCAGCGCTCGCGGCCCCCTCCCCCCTGTTAGCCAGACACCACCATCCTTGTCACCACCACCTCCGCTGGTCCCTCCCGCTCCGGAGGACCTCCGCAGAGCCTCGGAGCCCAACCTCCCGGGAGCCGCCTCCAGTACCGTAAGCTTGCTGCACTTGCCTCCCGTCGCCTTCCTAATGTCTGCTCCGGCCGTGAGCCCCCTTTCTCACCCAGCTACTAAATTCTGAAGAAAGCATTGGCTGCTGCTGCGCCTGCGTGATGACTGGACCCTGATGGCTGTCCCTAGAGTGCATGCTTCCTGTGTGTGACCTGGGTCGCCTGGGGCTCTTCACGGGGCTCTCAAGTGTCTCCTCTCCTCTGTCCTGTTGGGAATGAACATCTTCCTGAAGGAACTTTGTCCTTCCTCTGAGGAAACATCTGTGGCCTTTCTTTGCTTGGCTCTTCCTGGGCCAGGCAGATGTAGTGTTGAGAGCCAGGAAAGCTGCAGAACTGTGGGGACCAGCCAAGGGCAGGTGTGGTGCTACAGGGCAGGGTCCCAGGGAGCAAGGAGGTTCTGGGGGTGGAAATCATTCATTCTGGTTGGGCTTGTGAGTAAGCAAATACGCTTTCATAACAGAATGGGCAGAGATTGGGATTAAAAAAAAAGAGAGAGAGTTGGATTTAATTGAGGAAATGGAAGACTTGAACAAGTATTAGAACTTTTTCAAAATTAGACAATTCCTGGGACTTCTATGAGGAAGGCCCTAGGGATGCACCAGTGTTCATAGAAAGTTAAATGTCCTTGACACCTCAAGTCCCTTCCAGTAGGGGGAGGTGGGAAAGCCCAATTGTTTTAGGGGGAAAAAAAACTGAACCAAAGTACTTGGGTCTTGTTTTTCCTCAGGAGCCTGGGAATGGAGAAGGTCTAAAAGAATCTCAGCGTGAGCTGCAATATGAAGATACAGGGGTCTACTTATGGTGCTGTGGGGTTCAGTGGGATCAAGCAGTAGAAGTTCCTCCTATTATGGTCTTTGGCACAGAGGAAGTACCCAATTAGTGTTAGTTACATTGCTGAGGACTTGCCCTAGCAAATGAGGTGCCAGTAACCAGTTAATGAATAATTAATCTTTGAGTTCCTACCGTGTTCTAGGCATTCTGCTAGCTACCATAGGTACACCTGTGAAAAAGTCAGACTGCTTGCTCTGCTCCCAATGGGATTTGGGGGTATCAGTGTATCAGTTCTCAAAGTTAGTTTGGGTGGGATCATGTGAGGGCCAGGGAGGTCTAGTTATACTTGTAGAGTTTCTGATCTTGTGGGGCTAGGGAGGAGCCCAGGACTCTCATTTGGTCACAGGCACCCCAGGGTTTTTGATATTGGGAGTCCATGCACCATATTTTGAGATGCAGTGAACTGGTGAGTCACATGTTTGGTTGATGGAACTCATCAAATATCCCCTTGAAGAGATGTGCATATCAAATTGGCCCAGGTAGCATGTTAAGCTGGAGCCAGTCAGGCAGAAAGCTGGAAGGAAACTTCTTGTTTGACTTATTAGAGAAATTATAATAAGGCAGCAGAAGCACCAAAGCTGGGAATTGTTACATCCTGGGTGGGAGGCTGTTCTTGACTCTCCAGATGCAGCACAGTGGAGCTAGGCCAGGCCCAGGCCTGGTGTGACCTTTGGGCTTGAATATATTTCTGGCTTTGGGCTTTGCAGCTCAGCCTTCTGGGAGGAAAGTGATGAATTATTCCCTCCCCCTGGCTCTCAGGCTGAACTTCTGGGTGAATTTAAAACTTCTGGTTTGGGGGCATGTAGGCACCTTCCTTTGGTGCAGAATATCTTTCTCTAGAGTAGCAAGTAAAGTGAGCCTTATTTTTAGTGCACTCATATACCATTGTAAGTAGCTTTGTTTTGTGCCTTATAATTTATCATTTGTGTAGCTCTAGGTTTTCATATTGCGTTTGTTTTAGGTGTGCCAGGGCAGATTAGTTGGGGCAGTGTCCTCAGTATCTCAAACCTGACAAATCAGCCTGGAGTAGACTTCCCAGGAGTTGGCCTGAGAACTTTTGATTTGGCCCCAGGTAACAAAGTAAGAGGTGAAGAAGGAAATTACTGGGATTCCTCCTCTGAATAGGAGTTGTCAAGTAGAGGAAGGACCTTTGAGGATGGTGTCCAAGCCATGAGTTGATCATTTGCAGCCATTTGGAAATAAGAGGGAGAAATAAAAGTTAGTTTAAGTCATTTAGTTTATTTTAGTCAATAGCTGTTTTGTGATGTTTCAGAAATAAGACATGGATCAAAATCTACAAAATGCTTGCACAATCTACCCATGAAGACATCACATTAGGCTTTCACACTTTAAAGAGCTCTGGGCCTGATATTTTGTGTTCCTTGGATATACTCTGGCAGCATTTCTAAGTCATTTATCTTTATTAAATCACTGTGGAGATAAATTTGGATAAGTGTAGTTATTTTCTACTTTATAAATGGAGGAGTCAAGATGAGGCACTTGTGTACAAGATCATACTGTGCGCTCCTTGGGTCTTGGAAAAAGATTTTATTCACACAGAAAATTGAGCTGCCACTCATTGGCTACATAGGAAATTTTCAGGAGGGAGAGATTGACTGAGACAATGTGTGCAAAGCCCCTACTGGGTGCCAGGAGCTGTCCTGGGTGCTGATACACACATTTTTCTCTTCTGATAAGCATATGTCCTCGTGACACAAACATTAGCTTAGTCACACACTTGGTAGTGGGTGGTGGCTTCTGTAATTCACTTGGCATTCACTGAGCACCTGTTATTGTTCTGGATGGTGGCAGGGGGAAGAGCTGTGACCCTTGTCCCATAGGTACATACACAGTAATTGATCTCTGAGCATAGTAATTGCTTTAAAAGTAACAATCAGGGCCAGGGGCTAAGCTCAGTGGTAGAGTGTTTTCCCAGTATATGTGAGGTCATGAGTTCAATCCCCAGTACAGCAAAACAACAACAACAACAACAAAAGTCCATGTATAAAAGTAACAATCAAAATCTTGTTCTTAATACATTTAAGAATGTCATCTTAGTTTTAAGGTTGGTTAATTTTAAAATAGAAACCTTGCAAAATGTATAGATACAAGGAAGGAAACTGAATATCGTCACTACATTTGAGGGTCCTACTTTTTTTCAAAGACTGGCATTATCCCCTCATACAGATTATAATGTTGGCATTAATAATTTTATTAGTATTTCTGGTAGAGATCTCAAAATTTTTAAAGTCAGGATTCTCACAAGTCTTTACTTCAGGGATTTTTGTCACTCTAATGTTAGAGTGGAAAAATGTCACAGCAGGATAGGATAATATTCAGATCTCAGAAGCCAGTTTTAGTAAAATTGCTCAGTTATTCTGATGCCACCTGCAGCTTTCCCAGAAAACCATTTCTTAACTCTTTCCTGTTCTTACTTCAGTGATTTCTTGTCCTTAGCTCATCTCACATTTCTCTACACAGTGTACTAAACCTCCCTGATTCTTCCCAATTAAGCCAGCTCTCATTCTTGGATCGCATTTGGAATTGCATGGGTTTTGCATGTCACTCTACCTTGAATTTGAATTTGCTTTTTCAGTAACTGGATTGACCCACAACTCTTACCAGGTGAAAATAATGACTGATGCTGCTGAGACTGTCAGCAACACTCCCCTTCCCTTTCTCTTCCCTTACTAATACCAGAAAAGAGAATACGCATCCCAGACGAGGCTTCTAACTGGATTTAATGATGATATGTCTCACTGATTCCATTTCTTTTTATAAAATTAAGGTCTTTGTAAAACTTTACATTTCTCCCTTTTTTTAAAAAAAAAACATTAACTCTAGGTTTCTTGTATATACAATTAGTGACAATATTCATTTTCTTTTCAGGGTTCCAGTCCTCTACTAAATGAAGTTGCTTCTTCCAATACTGGAGCTGATTCCCAAGCCTCTACACCAGCCAGCAAGCCATCATCCGCCTACCCCTCGACAACCATCGTCAACCCCACCATTGTACTCTTGCAGCACAATCGAGGTAAGGGAAGCCTCACGGTGCACCCCTACTAACTCACTGCAGTCAGCATGGCTGTCCCGTGGTATCTGGGGCAAGACTTCTATCACTGCACAGAGATTTTCACAAACCTTATTCTGGGCTTCTCTGCCTCATTTTACCCACATGACCTGTAAGATCCATCCCAGCAGGCTGACAGAGGTGATGTCACGTATTTGCATATGTAAGCCAGGCTAGTGCAGGTGCCTTCTCCACACCTCAGGTGCTCCTGGTTTTCTTCAGTCAGTTGCAACCCCCTAAAAAGGAACGTTTGTATCTCTTAATTCTTCATCATATGATTTCTAATGAGGCTTTACTTAGAAAATTTAGGTATGATGATAACCACTTTTTAAGTCGTGTCAGAAATGATTTAGTTCTTTGACAAGATAGATTGCTAGAAAGCAAAATGTTGAGTACTGAATTTAACAAGCAAATATGCTGGATAGAATTTTCTAAAATGTGAAACATGTTTTTATGCATCTAACACAAAACGTTTTCTTAGTGACTCTCTGGCCCCCTTCTCACAGCAGTTATTGCATGAGATTGTCATTCGGTGAAACCCTCGGGGACTGAGGTTTGTCTGGCTGCTTACCTTACTCCATGTGGCCCAGGCAGCACTGCGGAGGGTTTTCAGGTTCAGTTTCTATAGTTTCTCTGGCTGCTTTGGTTGGTTCTGCTGTGTCTCTGAAGGGGCTTGGGATTGGCAAAACTCAAAGAGCTTTGAGATAGTAATGATACATATTGACCCTTCTGCTTTGAAATTCCAGAGGATGATTCTAAATCCCAAGTTTTCCTTTTTTGGGAATTCCATAGAGAGGAGTAAGCTTTCCCTTTTACAAAAGTTCTTTGCAGCATGAAATGGAAAGTTTTCAGGCTGTCTCCCAGTGCAGAAAAGCCTTTTTAGTATGAATTTCAAAGAACAGTAGAGGTTTACTTGTTCTGTTCAGAGCTCAAAGCTCATATCCAAAGCTTCCTTTTCTTGACTCCTTCTTCGCCTACTTCATAGTTTCCTCCCTTTCCCACCCCCTTCCTCTAACTTGGATGAAAATGGAACTGGAGTCTATTTTTAATTGTTTTCCATACTAAATAGAGGTTTCTGTTTCCTGCTTCTAACTTGAAAAGTAGATATATGTAACATTTTCTCTCACTTCAAATATTCCCACTCAGATCTTAAATAGTCATTTTAGTGGGGCTATTTATTTATTTATTTATTTATCTGCACTGTGTGGCTCCCATATCAATTTTCTCCCATGGATCTGTGTTCTTCAGGAAAAAATAAGGGTCCCAGCCCCCACACTAAGTTTTGTATAAGCCCATTCTCCCAAGTGTGCCATGCCCTTACTGGCAGTAGTTCTCTGCCCAGAAAGTGTCCATAATGCAGGACAAAGTGAAATTTTAGTTCTCTATGAACTTCTTTATGAGTCATTTTTTTTTTTTAATCTAGTCAAGTAGAAGCAAGTTAATTCCCAGAAGGAAAGGCAGTTTCTTTAAAAATGGGATTTATTCCCCAGGCAACATGGTTTTTGGGAAGTGCCAAGTATAATGTCAGCTGCTCCTGCCAAGTCCCTCCAGTGACACCCAGTGAGACATCTTTGGGCACAGAAATGCCTGTAGTTCCTCTTTGTCTCTTCCTTGAACAAGTGAATTCCTCTTGTTCACCCAAATACTTTTAGTTCTTGCCTTTCTCTTTTGGCCAAGATCTGCCCTTGGGTTTAAACATCAGAAATGTACAGCCTGAGACATGCCTCCTTCAGAAAAAAAGATGCAGGAATGACGTTAGTTTTTTGGAATTCAATGGCACCTTCCCATAAAGAACAAAACCATGCATTCACTAAGTAGGTAGGACAGGAAGAGTTGAAAGGAATGGAAGAGCCTGGCCTGCTTGGCCCTGTGTCCCTCATCATAAATAGGGTTTAGGTCAAGTGTTCTTGGCACTGCTTGGGAATTTACCCAACCTAATAGCTCTGCTTTGCCTCACCCATGAAAACAATTTCTTAATTATTGCAGAGTGTCCCAAGGGAATGATAACTTTACTCCAGTTCTGGACTTCTGCTTTAGTCATCCTGAAAATTTCCTCTTTTTTCCCCCACTGCCTAGATTGTCACAGGGCATGGTACGATAATAATCTTGTTTCTTCAAGCCAACCTCCCTATTAAGAACAAACAGGGGACACTGATCCTCTGGCTTGGCACTGATGGTTATGAGCAAGCATCCCTTTTCTCCTTTTTCCTGAGTTTGCGTACTTCGTGTATTTAAGGGTAAATCACTTGCCATGAGGCCGGGAAGGAAGATTTGAATCCAGATACTTTTAGGACTGAAGAGGTATATGGGTTCCCTTGCTCAGGGCTGCTCAGTCTTGTTAATCTGATGAATCTTGTTAATTTGATGATTCAGATTTAGGAGCTATTGGGAAGGGGTGAGAGGATAAGATTCTACATTTTCAGAAAGCTTGGTGGGCATCCCAGCAGTACTGGATGTGGACCATGCTGGAGATCAGGAATTCAGAGGTTCCCAGGTGCATCTGTGGACATAGGAAATTGTCTAGGGATTCCTCTAGAGTTGCTAACTTCTAATTTTGCTAAATAACAGCCCTGAAAAACATCCACTAGTGTGTGTGACATAAAATAAAAGAAAGGCCATTTCACACTTCAGCAATGGGAACAACATAGTATTTTAAATTGTATACATTGGTTTCTACTGCTGGGAAGGACCCTACCAGTGACTTGTGGAATGGAGTTGGATAACCATACATCCCTTTAGATAACACAGAGTACCTTGATGTCACAAGTGAGGAAATAGGCTGAGAGGCGACGTAATTGGCCATTGTCACCTGACAGGTTGCTGGCAGAGCTGGGTCTAGAGCGCCACTGGGCTTCTGCTTGTCCAGCTGGTGTGAACCCCATCCACATGTTGAAGGTGAACGGCTGCTACTTGCACCAGCCAAGAGCTCGCATGTTGCTTTCTTCACTTCTTACCCAAACTGATTCTAGTGGGAGGATAGATGGAAATGTGGCCACAGGGCATGATGACAGCACCCATGGGCTGGCAAGTGTTCTATTTTTAACTGTGTGGCTGCTTTATATTTAGCAGCCATGGAAGGTAAAGGTCACTTTTGTGCTTATCACATAGCAAGTACACTCAGGACTTTCCAAATGAGATGTTGGCCTCCCCTCCACGTGGTCACCCCGAAGGCTGAGAAATCAATAGACCTTCAATATTAAGGAGAGCGACTAGAGATGCAGAGGACCTGGACTGGGAGTTGAAAGTCTAGCTTCTAGATCCAGGTGATTTTCAGTGTAGTTTGGGCCCCTTATCTGAACTCTCTTGGCCAATGCTGATTTTTCTTAGAATTTCTTCCATAGTCTGGTCCAGCCTCCTTGCTACAGTGGCTCAGATGTACAGTGAGAAAAATAGTTATGCCTAACAGCTAAGGTTGTTGGCAAGATTGCAAATGTTGTGCCTGAAAACACTTAAAACCAGGGTCTGGCTTTGAGCAAGCTCTTGGGAGATGACAGCTTCCATGGTTATGATTCTAATCACCTTTCCTTCAAAAGGTACCAAGGCTAGGATCAGATACGGTCCTGTGCACTTGAAACCAGAGAGAGTGAAAGGGTCCCTTTAATGATAAGATTATTCCCCCCCACCCCCAGTATTGGGGATCAAACGCAGGGCCTTATGTATCCTGGGCAACTATTCTATCACTGAGCTGTACCCCCAGTCCCTTTTATTTTATTTTGAGACAGGATCTCATTAAGTTGACCAGATTGGCCTTGAACTTGGAATCAGCTTCAGCCTTCTGAGTAGCTGGGATTATAGGCATGTGCTACCACACCTGGCTGAGATCATCTTGAGACAAGATGTAAACTGCTAGAAAATGGACCATCTTGAATTCTGGTGCAAATCTGGAGAGTGAGGAGTTGGGAGACAACATGCCTGTATAATAAAATCCATGTCAATTCCCCTGTCTTCAGCTGACCTGTGTATTTTAGCATCTAAAGGACAATGAGGGTGCTGAGTTTGGGATCCTAACTAGTTATACCAGGATCTCTTGGTCTTACCATGTACTGTATAAATCTCACTTACACTGTGCATTCTTTTCTTTTATCACAGAACAGCAAAAACGACTCAGTAGCCTTTCAGGTAGGTGACAAATATATTTATTTACATATTAACCACTGTGCCTTTTAAAGCCATCTTTCGGTCACCACCCAGTGTTGGATCAGCACAATCTTCTGAGCGACCCTAGGAGTTGGGGGACTATATTCGTTGCTGGAATCTTTATTTCAGAGATGATAACAACAGGCTTAGATTCTGCCCCCTGGAGCTTGCAGGCTTGGCAGACAGAAAAGTGAATCAAACTAGTAAACGTGTCCCATGGAACTGCAATGAGTAGCTTGATGGTAAGAACAGGATGTTCTGGGTAGGTAGCATAAGGGGTTCTGCTTCAGATGACAGTGTTCATGGCAGGTCTCTGAAGAGGCCACCTTTTGGTTGTTCTCTCTTTCTCTTAGATATGACAGGTCAGGGTTTAGGAAATGTGGGCAGGTCTTTTACTATTTGGGTTGCAAAGCCAAATGCCAATAGTTGACCCAAGCGCGATGGGTCCAAGTAAGAACCACCCGACCAGCAGGGTCGAAAACTGCTTTTTGAACTTAAACTGGCTTTAAGGATCATCTGGAGAGAGTATCAAAACTCTTCTGCACTTGGCCTGCAAAAGTTCAGATTTAATGGGTATGTGTGAGAATTTGCATTTTTCACCAGCTCCTCAGTGATACTGATGCTGCCCTCTGGTGACCACACTGGGTGGCAAGTGGATTGTTAAAGCCTGTAATGGAGAGTGACAGCAGATATAATCAGCTAATCAGGGATCACTTCCTGAGAAACTGTGCAGGATGGGACAGTGTTGGGTGGGGAAGGAGCAAACTTGTAGGCTGAAATGAGGAGGAAACCCAGGAATAGGAGTGCTTAGTCATTTCCTGCTGGATTCCTGTAGCCATTCTGCTTTGAATCCTGGTTCTACCACTTACTCATGGTGTCACCACAGGTCCATTATCTAATGTCTCTCCTCTGTGAATGGAGAAAGAAGTATCTTCCAGGTTGTTGTGAAGATCAAAGGAGATTCCACTTATAAAACAGCTGAGCATTGAGCTTTGGCACTTGCAAAGCGCTTAGTGTTATCAGTGCCATTGATTTATTATTCATTTTATTGAGTGCCTGCCTTGAGTAGAGTAGAGGCAAGAGGCAGGCTCTGGAGGTGCATCAAGAAAATTGTGCAGCCTATGGGCTGCTAATGGTGTCATGTGATGATTTTTCACCTTTCTTTGGTCATCGCCACTCCTTGAGAGAATCTAACGAAAGCAACAGATTCATTTTCCAGAAAAAGCCATGCGTGCAAGCATGTGCATATGAGTTCCATGGATTTTTAAGTACTCATGAACTCCAGAGTTAAGAACCCTTGATCTGGTGGATAATGGAAGCCACCATTTTCTGAGCAGCTGCTGCATGATTTCTGTGTGACTTTATCCCACTGCTGTCCTTGTGACTTGTGCAGAACTGGGTAGGGAGGACGTGGGGTTCTCACACCCTCTCAGCTTTATCAGGGCTTGGCCACGGGGCCAGGACAGGCTGTGGTTGAGCTCAAGGTGCCCTTCACTTCCCCTCCTTTTGCTGCTACTTCCTTCCCCTGGCTCCAGCCTGGATTGCAGAGAACATAGTGGCTTTGGGGGAGAAAAAATGGTGGCTCCTGTGAGCTTCTTCCTGCTGTGCGAGTTGGAAGGAATAGATGAAAAGGGCATCCGGCCATGTTATGAGACTCAAATTTGGTCCCTTCCTAGAGCTGTTTGTATTTGGGTAAGGGACCTCACCTCTTTGAGCTGTGGTTTCCTCATGTGGGAAGTGGGGGTGACAATCTTTGTCCCTGCCTAGAGGAGCTGATGTGACAGGAATGGGGAGAATGCCTCACAACCAGAAAGGGTTTCTCCACCATGCTGGCAGGCTCAGCCTGGCTCCTCAGTGCTAAACAAACCTGATGCTGACTCCCTCCTTGAACTTTGGGACAGATTCATTAATGATGTTTGATCAACTGGGGCCTAAAACAAGTGCTCACTAAATGTTAGTTCCTTTTTTAAAAAGAAGTACCATTTTGTTCAGGAGCTCCTGAAAGACAGGGGCCGGCAGTGCTGGCACTCTGTAGACCCTGTGCCTTAGAGAAAATAAGGTTCTGCTCCTCACCTGTGGGGATGGGACTCAGGGTCACCAGTCTTCTCTTTTATCAAAGTCTTATTGAGCCCCTGTGGGCTCAGGAAGAGTCAAATGTGAATAGAATCTACATGGCTCAGGGCTCCCCTGGGGAGAAAGGAAAATATGATTGTGACTGGGATAGTGAGGTTGACACAGGACATGGAAGCCACCCTCCTTCCCCTAGGGAAGTGTGAGCATTGTTGTCATCTTCAGTCATAAAACTTTGAGTATGAAGAAAATCTATCCCACCTCCCATAAATAGAGGCCCCATCTGAGACTGTCAATATCATCATTATTTAGGGGCCCAAGACTTTCCTTGTTAAAGCACCGTATAAAATGAGAAGGAAATGCCCCAGGATATCTTGTGAAGAATTAGTGTTGCTTAGTGAGAAGTAACAGCAAGCCCTCATTGCAACAGGGATGTCAAAGTGGCCCTGTCATCTGCATGGGACACTTGTCATTTTGGATTTTCATTTTATTTTTAAAAAGTTCCACTTTTTGCAGTTTAGCCCTCCAGATATCAAAATCCACTCAATAATGAATCACGTGACCACAAGTTTCATAAGTAAAATAATTCAGAGCTAATTTTTATAGATTAAAAGGATTCTTACAACTCCATGGAATGCTAGCCTGTTTTGCAGTTAAGTGATTATTGAGCACCTGCTCTACAGTTTAAAAAAAAAATTTCAAAGGCTCTAGAAACCCTTGAGAACAGCATGTCTGTAGCCCTCATTGTCATAGCATGATGAAGGCCCCTAAGCACTGGGTAAAACAGAGCTTGGAATCAATTCTCCTGCGCCCTCTTGATCTCACTCAGGGAAGCCCTTTCCAGGTAGGAGGGGAACTCTCAGAGAGCCACGTTAAAGGTAGACTTGGGTAATTTGAAATCCCCCTGCACTTCCAGGCTTCCTGCTAACCCCTTGTCCCCATGTTGGAATTTCCTGGGAGCATGAGAACTCTTCCCATAAAGCCAGTCTGCCCTTAATACGGTGATGGTACCATGGATCAGGTTTTCTGGAGCTCTCACTAAACTGATTCTTCTCACACAGAAGAATATTTATGAATCATTTTGCCTTTACAAATGCAGCAAGAGTTTCAGAAGTCCACTTGAAATCATGGCAGACTGATCCTGTTGAGTTGACCAAAAATCCTCAACCTGAGCGTGTTGATTTCACTGTTCCCCTGCTTCTCCAGCCTCCCCTCCACACAGACACCTCTGACTTTCATTACTTTGCAGGGACCATTAGGTCCTTCCATTTCACTATGGGGTAGCCGCCAGACAGCACTTGGCACCTCTCAGTGAATCAAGGAGCAGATATTCCTGAGCACTTTCTGCTTGCCAGGCAGATCTGCATGCCCTTCATTCTCACCTTATGGACTGTATCCACAGGACTTCAGGGTCCCCTGGTTTACACCTTTTTGCTTCCAGTCTTTTGACCTCTCCAATTACCATCTGGCTCATTCCTTCCTTTATGCTGAATTCCCTCCCTATGGCCTGCTCACACATTTGTTCCTTTCTCTGCAGTGTGACACCTACCCCCACTGTCCTCCTGAAATGGCTACCCCAGAGTGTTCCTGTGACTTTCCTCTTGCCTAATCTAATGCCTCCTCCTCCTCTGCTTCAATTTATGGTTTTTTTTTTTTTTTTTTTTTTTTGGTGTTTAACAACCCACATCTTGGAATTCTGTCTTCTCTGGTTTCATGGCACCTTGCTGTGTTTTCTGGTTTATCTCCTGTTCTTCTGATGACTCCCACATCCATTTGAGGATTCTTTTGCTTTTCCTCCTGTACCTTTGGCATCCCTCAGTGCAAAACTTCAGCTCTTTGGCTATGCTGTCAATTCCTTCCACTCTGAACTCTGCCATCTCCTTGATATTAGCCTTGTGCTCTAAAATTGCATTCCTACCAGGGCGTCTCATCTGGGCTTCCTCTGTGTTTCTCCAAGGGGTCTCTAGGGCAGTTCTACCTAAGTATCTCACTGTCTTCTCAAATATATTCTGAAAATGGGAGCAGCCATCTTTCCCTCCCTTCTCCAACCCAGTTTCCTTTCCTAATGTCTCAGTTTGGGTTAGGCTAGGCTCCCAGACTGGAAACCTTGGTGCCATTTGGAGGGATACAAAACAAGATATGGTTCAGAGAGGACTGCTAGGCAGATACTAGGTCAAATCCCAGCTTAGCCACGTGGGGTACTTTAACTTCTATGTGCTTTGGTCCCCTTAACCATTTTTAAAAATGGAGGGATGATAATAGCTTCTTTTCAAGGTTGTTGGGCAGATGAAATGAAGAGTTTTGTGCAATGCATGGCACATAATCAGCTCATAGTAGTTCAGAGGCAACCCATGCATTTGCTTATGCTGTTCACCTACCACCTTCCACTTCCTGTTTATCGGCTTGGCTTCTCCTTAGACAAGCTGGCCCTAAACCTAAATCTCTCAGCCAAGTTGGATGCTGGCTCCTGTATCAGACCTCATCATCCTGCCTTCTCAATGCTGCACTTGCTTTTTCTGCCCATTAGAGTATAAGCTCCCTGTGGGCCAAGATTCTGAGATATTTACTGTCAGTCCACTATGCACAGCACCTGGAAGGTGCTTAGTCAATGCCTCTCTAATAAGTGAATGACAGGACTTGGAATAACGACTATCATAAATAATTGCATAAATCTGTACACAGGACCTGGCATGTTTGTTAGCTCGCCATAATTTCCAGTCTTGAACCAAATTAAATAAACCATAATGAACATCTAGCAATGTACAGCTCTCTGAGTTCTGTGGTTTAAGTTATCTTGATAAGTTCTCTTACAACCTGGCTGTGAGGTTGCCAGTGGAAGAGTTATCACCATTTTTTGGATAAGAAAACTAAGGCACAAAAAAGTGACTATCCCACGATGAAATAAGAACTTTCCAGTAATGTTTAGCCACCTCCTTATCTGCTCCCTTAATTTCTGGACTAGTCAGAACTACTTGGATGCCCAGAGCATAATATACAAACCTCTGCAAAACACACTGTTGGCAAACTTTTTTTTTTTAAGGACCAAATAATAAATATTTTAGGCTTTGAAGCCATAGCTATTCAACTCAGCAGTGGTAGTGTTAAAGTACCATAAATAATATGTAAATGAACTCATCTGACTGTATTCCAATAAAATTTTACTTAGAAAAACAGATGACTGGCCCATGAGCCATAGTTTGCTGACCCCTGCCCTAAGTGGAACTAGTTTCAGTTGGGAATTAGCAAACACACTTTGTTTTAGCTGGATGGTTTGTGAGTTTTTGCTTTGGAGCTACCAGAAGAGCTTCAGCTAATGATTGCTTTTTATTTCCAGATCCTGTCTCAGAAAGAAGTGTGGGTGAGCAGGACTCTGCACCAGCCCAGGAAAAACCCACCTCGCCTGTCAGGGCTGCTGAAAAAAGAGCAAAGGATGACAGTAGGCGGGTGGTGAAGAGTGCACAAGACCTAAGCAATGTGTCCATGGATGAAGTGGGCATCCCACTTCGGGTATGAGTATTGACCTAAAAGTCCTTCATAGGCTTCAGCTTAACTAAACTGTGATAAAAGCACAGCCCTGATTGCATGTGAACCCGTCTATGGGTTACACAGGCCTGGAAGGGAGGGTGCTCACACTGGCACCAGACCCCAAGTGCCAGACCCACGATAAGCTGTGTTCCAAACTTGGTGTTCAGCAACTTTTCCCAAAGTGGTGTGGGATGTTTATAAGTTTCATGGAAAAAGAAAGGGTTTTGTGGTCAAATGAAAAGGAGGAATGTCTGAGCGGGACAAAGTTGAAGAAATTTCTCTGCAGCAGACCCTCAGAGAGGCTTTGGGCTTGTGAGTGAGTGTTCCAGGGGTGAATGCCACAGGCAATCTTCCTTTATTATTATTCCATGGAGTCTGTTCAGAAATTCTTGCTCCAGGGTTAGAGCACCCTGGAGAGTGGGAGGTCCATAGCCCCTGTTTTGGGGTTCAGGAAGAAGATCCCCCTGGGTAGGAACTACCTCCCCACACACATACAAATGGAGGAGGAAACTCTGATATAGCCACTGGAAGGATTCAGCCCACCAAGGCCTCCAGGAGAAGGCGGGTCTAGTAGCAGCCCTGTCCACTGGTCAGGCATGCTAGTCCTCCTGTCAGCCTAAGGAATTCAGGGAAACCTGTCTTTTGAAACTGGATTCAGGTGAATTCCATTCCTCTCCATGTGTTCACTAGGCCACTGACTACAATGCTTCCTTGTGATTTCCAATTGGAAAAGGGACTAGTTTCTTTTTGCTTTCTTTTGGAGAAAGTAGGTAGACATAGCCATGGGATAAGACTCAAAAGAATGCTGCCCTTGTCCTAAGTAGTAAGTAATTTAGAAAGAGAACTATTACCAAAAGCAGCTATAGCTACAATAAACAAACAAACAAACAAACAAAACCCAGCTTTGTGGTGAGGGTGAAAACTCTGGCATTGAATGCTATAATGGGTTATGTGTTAGTGTATTCATTCTGAATCTGGCCCTATGCAAGGTAACTTTATATGCATTTCTGCAGAATAATCTAGAATGGATTATTATGCCATAGCATAATAAGTAAGTGTTCTTTGCATCAGATTTCTAGGATTTACTTCAGGTTCCCATAGTTTGTGTTTGGAAATAAATTCTTTGTAAGGATTTTAATTTTTTTTTAAAAAAATTAAGAATGGACATATTTTAAGTCTTTGTATACCTTTATCAAAATCTGCATTCTTTTGGCCAACTATCATTCTGCAAAATGTTTCTATCTCTTCAAAATGTTTCTAAATATTGAGATGCTTAGTACTTAGCTTTTCTGAATCAAGACTAAATCTGCTGTGGTTGGGTAGATGAGCTTATTCATGTCTGTCTGAATCTCTTAGTTGGTTCTTTTTCAATAGTCTTGACTTAAGATGTCATTTCCTGTCTGATTTTGATTTTGTAATCGTAAAAGTTCTGAAATGTGCAATTTTATCTTACTCTTTGCCTTTGTTTTTCTCCAGAATACCGAGAGATCAAAAGACTGGTACAAGACCATGTTTAAGCAGATCCACAAACTAAACAGAGGTACTGGTTTTCATTTGTAGAAGCTGTGCTGTGCTATGTGCCCCCATATTGACTCTCGGGCATCATCCTAAACTTAGTTTGGTTAGACTCCAGGAGATTGGGTCCTGCAGTTGGATTCTATTAGGTACTGATCTGCCTGAACCCAGCCATGCTCCTTGAGAGCACAGGAGGGAGGGTGCACCTGTGTGCCCACCTCAGCTTTATAATTTGAGGTCAGCTCACAAGTCCTCCCTCCCAACTGTGTGGAATGCAGCAGGCTGAGCCTAGCACTCTGCCTGAGCTCCAGCACCTACTGCCTAAGATGCGAGCAACTCCATCTCTCACCTGCTTCCAGCTTTAGGTATGTCCTGTGTCAGCCCGTGACTGCCTCATGGGCAGAGCAAGTTGAGAAATCTGAGTTAAGAACTGAGTTAAGAAAACTGTTCTCAGGGCTGCAGTTGTGGCTCAGTGGTAGAGCGCTGGTCTCGCATGTGTGAGGCACTGAGTTCGATCCTCAGCATCCCATAAAAATAAATAAATTATATAAAGGTATTGTGTCCATCTACAACTAAAAAGTAAATTAAAAAAAAAAAAGAAAAAGAAAACTGTTCTCACCTAGTTTCAGTCCCCTAAACACTCATATGACCTTGGACCAGTCATGTGCCTCTCTGTGTTTATCCTGCCTTCCTTCCTCTGAGGGATGTTGCAGGGTCCACATGAGAAAGTGTTTGGCCTTGTGAAGGTACAGTGATGCATAGTGCACCTCTAAGGTTATGTTAATGTGAAAAATAAGCACCCCTAGCTGCCAGCCAGCACTTGGCAGGTAGCCCTGAGAATCGGTCAAGAGCTGACACACCAGAGCCTGCTCAAGCTGAAAGAGGTGCTTAAAGGCCCACTGGGCTGTCAGCCAGTGACCCAGCATGGTGGGAGAACCCCAGGCCAGTGCTCGGGCAGGTCACAACCCCACCAGCTCCCATTGCTGCCTGTGCCACCAATCAACTGATAGGCAGGGATGTAGCTGCACCATGGGAAGGGTACCATTCCTCCTGTGGGCAGAGCATCCTGTCCTTCCCTGTTCCCAAATCCAGTCTGACCGCCTGACATGGATGGTACATGAAGGCAAAGAAAGAGTATTCTAGTCAGTATTCCTGTGTAAGCTACAAATATCCAAGTTCTCTAATTAGCTGCAGATGTCAATTAACATTACTGTTAGTAAGTTCTTGCTGGGTTCAAAATGAGCCAGGTATGCCCCTCTTCAAAGTGTTTCTAAATATTTAGAAACAGTACTTAGCTTTTCTGAATCAAGACTAAATCGGCTGTGGTTGGGTGGATGAGCTTATTCATAGTGGCCATGCTAAATGCTGGGTCTCTGTGATCAGATGGGGTCATTTCCACTGATCACTTCCTAAAGTTACTATCCACTGCCTCTGGCCATCTGTGACTCTCTCACATATTCAGACCCAGCTATGGAAGGCTAAATGCAGGGACGAGTGCTTGCATATGTGCAAAGTAGTTTTGCCTCACAGGCAGTGTTGGTGTTCTCAAGTAGTTATTAACTCAACTAAATTACAGGTGATAACACAACTACCTGTCCTAATGGTAGACAGGGGTATTTGAAAAATTGAGACTCCACTTGTTTGCCTTGATTCTAATGTCCACCATACACGCTTTTTAAAAAAAAAAATCATTCTAGGATAGTGTTTCCATTGCATACTACTCATTATCATACTTAATATCTCTTGCCCATAAAGAGTGAGTGCTTGAAGCTTTGCGCTAAGTGCTTTCTGCACACTGGAGCCTGTTTTGATGTAATTCTTTGACCAAGGGAAGTAATGATATTGTATATTTTGATGTGTCTTAATAATTCAGGCAAAAGGACTGGATTTTTAAAGCAGTTTGAATTTCTTTCATGTGACTAGTGAAATTTACCATGTTCCAGAATTCAAGGAGCCTAAATTGTATGTGGATTCCTCCTCGTTCATTCTCTCCATTTGTATCTTCCTCTATTCTCTCTCCCAAACCTGCTCCTCTGCCTAGACACTCCTGAAGAAAACCCTTATTTCCCTACGTACAAATTCCCTGAACTTCCTGAAATCCAGCAAAATTCTGAAGGTACCATAAATTTAGATGGCGTATCTGTTGTTTTAGCCTTTAATTAGTTCTTAGAGTTCTATTTTAGGCATAAGATTTGGCTTTTAGATTTTGTTTTTATAGTCATTTTTTTTTTTGGTTGGTGAAAATTTTATTTCACTCATTTGCATGATATGCTGTATTAAAATAACTAAGTCCTTTCTAATTCATTAATCTATTTTTAAGTGTGATGCTGGTGTGCTTTAATAACACTAAACTAGGTAATCAGTCATTCAAGTGGGAATTTGTCAGTGCCTCCACTTCATGGTGGATAGTTTCAAAATCCACTGCTTTTCTCTGCTACAGAGGACAATCCTTACACTCCTACCTACCAGTTTCCTGCATCTACTCCTAGTCCTAAATCTGAAGGTAATTCAAGGAAAACCGTGTGCCTCTCTTTGTACTGGTGCTGTTACTTTTTTTTCACCTTGGGGTTTTTCCTGGTGGCTTAGGGATGTCTCCCATTCATTTGCTTCCCTCTAACCTTGTGTTTTGTGGTATTGTCTCATTCCTCGCTGACCATATAACCAGAGTATATCCAGATGGTACTTTAATTCTATTCCCTTAGGGTTTGCATGATTAATGAGTAGCCATCATAGCTCAGTTATAATGTTTGGAACATGTGGGGCTCTGGGAAAAGCTGCCTATACCAACTTCTCAGGACCTGGTGTCTGGAGTAGTCATCTGGTGATGGTGGCTGGGCAGTGATTTGGTGAAGCTGAGTCATTGTGGTGGACAGGCAGGAAGTGGACCTGCTGGCTCACAAAAATAGACACATCACCAGATTCCTATACATTCAATTAACTTGTCACTGGGCTCCTCTTGCCATTGACCTCAGGGTGATTCTCTTTGGGAGGGAGTTCTTGATGTGGTTTCGAAATATAAGATTCAGTCATGGTAAGAGATGAGATCTCTTGAATATAAGGATTTGGGCCAAGCTGGAAAACATTTCACAAAAGCTGCTAGGAATTTGTCTTACTGGGGAGCACAGCCACATCAGTGTCTCGGAGTGTTCTTACTTGGGCAAAAAGTCCTCTTGTCAAAGAAGCTTCTAAAAGGTGAGTTAGGGGCAATATCTGAAAGAGTTATCATAGTAGTTGGGGTGGTTTGACCTTTGGATGAGTGACCCGGAAAAAGGAGGGGCAGAGTCTGGAAGAGGAAACTTTGTTAAATGCTCTTCCAGGAGGAAATGTAGGTTTAATGCTCTGAACTTCATTCTAGTTGTACGGAGCACTTGCTCTGTGCCATGCACTATACTGGCAGCCAATGATAATGCCATGAATACATCAAGTGCCCTGGCAGGGAGTTGGAAAGGGGACTTAGCACACTGTGCCCATTGTAGGGGCAGTTGCAAGAGCATGTGTCTGGAGGCTGCAGAAACCTTGTTGGCACGCAACAGGTCCTCAGTAATGCCTGGAGAATATAGTGAGTGAAAGCTTTGCACCGTGGAACCAGAGTGCTTATTTTAGAACTCTGGTGCTACCATCTCAATGCTGCTCTGCTCTGATCAGCCCAGCCCTTCTCACCATTTGTAAAGTCATTCATCTGGTCATTCACTGGATGGACTCTTACTGATCACTTATCATGTATGAGATGACATATTGGGATGTGAAATATCATATCATGCCTGGGGCCTATTTTGAAGGAAAAGTCTTATTGAGTAAACCCCAGAACTCAAAGCTGATGACTTAAAATTTTGATCAGTAACCTCCTCACTGTTTGGCATAGATAAGTTAGTCTTTCTGTCTTGGGAGTTCTGATTCTAGCTGAAAGCATTGCTGAAGAAACAATTGACTGAGTTGGGCAAGGGGGGGCGTTGTTTAAAATAAATGTGACTAATTACAGTTTTTAATTTGTGCTTTATTTATACTTGTGAGCCCAACCCACTTATGAGATGGGGCTCCCTGTAGGTAAGGTGACAAGTGTAGAGCATGCTGAGGGCACAGTGTCCCATGGGCACAGGTGGAGGAGGGCCCCTTGGAGAAGTCCTGTGGAGAGGAACAGTGTCTCCTGTTGGACTGGAAGACTGATTAGGCCTATCACAGGCAGTGCCCATAGCTTCCTCAGCCTTGGGACAGGGTGTCATGGCCTCACCCCAGAGCTCCCATGTCATCAGCCACCGCGCCCTTCAACCTGATTTATGTTAACATTTGCCTTTTGGTGTACATCAAATCTGGCACAAGAGGAAAGCGGGGTGTTTTTTTTTTTTTTTTCTTTCTTCAAGGCATAAATAGTAAGAAATAACATGACAACTTGCCACATATATTTAGACATGAACCTTATTATACTTTTTATTTTCAAAGACCAAAAAAGGGAAAATTAAAAGAATTAGGTTGAACATTAAGAAATCCAAATAACAAAGATGATTAGACTTTAACACAAGTTTCTAAGAAGTCATCTTCCCTGGAGACCTTTCTAAAATAGGATAGATGCTATCTCACGCCCCCATCTCTGCCTAGCTGACATATCCAGGCACAGATCACTGATGTGTTCCATTAGATAAAGACGTTTTACAAATGAGGAAAATGTTTAAACTAGATCATTTTTTTAAAACTGTTGGACTAAGATCCTCTGGATTTCTGGATCTATGGCTGGTGGTTTAGAGGTTGTCTGTGGGTTCCATCAGAGTGTCCCAGCCCTGTCCGTGGTGCTGCTCCCAATAGGTGGCCCTGGGCTCTGTGCACTTCCTTCTTGACATAGGAAAAGATTTATGCCTTTTAAAGAAAGGCATTAAAGACAGTTAGCACTTAATGGAGGGTCTGCCCAGAGATTTTAACATGCCTTAAGAAAGAAACAGCTTTACTGAAATGTGAGCACTTGATGGTCCAGAACTGGTCTCTTAGGGAAAAACTTGTTGCTGGTATTGTTTTAATTCAAGAATTTGAAACTAAGATTATCTGTAATAAACCTACCAGAGCCTAGCCTGAGGGTTGTTGCCTCTGTCTAAATTTTAGTTGTTGATATAATGTAAAAAGACGCTTCTAAAAGCTCAAGACTGACTCTCCTAAATAGCAAGGGGCCTTGTGAGTTTGTATGCTAGCTTAGCAACTTTCTTTTTCCCCTAGTTAACAGTGAACAAGTGAATGTCTGGCCAGACTTTTAGAAGATAAACAGAATGATTATATCTTGATCAATGAGGTTTAAGATATACTTTAAAAAACAAACCACTGTCAATCCCAGCAAGGAACCGTCCCTTCAATCATTTTACAATCTTTGAGGCTGCTGTGTGTTGCATGTGCTTACACTTTGCTTCATGAAGCAGTTAAGGGAAGGAAGAGCTGTGGAGAAGCAGCTTCACAAATGCAGCCCTTTTCCCTTCCCCACCTCCTGCTCTTAGGACCAGCAGTGTGGTGGCCAGTGCCTCCATACCGCACACTGTAATCCTGTTAAGGGTAGTAACATGACCACCACTGCGATGACTATGGGACTGTCACTTACTGAGTCCTTATGCTATGCAGTATTAGGCTCTATGCTGAGTGAATCACTATTGTTATCTCATTTTCAACTCCCCCCACCCAGTGACCCCATGAGACTCAGAGAGGTTAACTAATATATGCAGTATAACATAGTAAGTGGCAGAGCCAGGATCCAAACCCAGGTAGGTCTAAGAGGCCCCTAATCATGGGCTTTTACTGACTCTGCTGCACTCCTCTACCCCCTTGAACATCCCCTCCTTACCAGGGGCTCTCTGATGCCTCACTGCAGGTATCCAGCTTCCCCCAAGTCAGAACTGCCTCAGGATCCTGAGCCAGTGTCTCCTTTGATGGTGTCTGGGAGATATGTTTAGGAAAGCTGTCCAGGTGTTTGGGAGTCCCAATCAGCCAGCATTGAGAACCACTGCAATGGAGGAGCACCACTCTTCCCCAGACTGCAAAAGGGATGAAGATACTTGCCTAGATGCAGTTGTAGAAATTTAGATGCAGGCAGGATTAATTAGAGTGAGGAATGCAGATTCAAAAGAGTTAGGCTTTCTACCCTGAAGATGGCAAATGATGTTTGTTCACTTGGTACATTTGATGTCAGGAACAGAAGATATAAGAATACCTAGGAATCTTTACCAAAACCAAGTAATGGTTAGGTTATGTTGTGGTGCACAGCTTCTGAGGAACAGTTGACCCATTCTAATGACAGGGTTAAATCTGTCATCAGAGGTGAAGTCCCAGAGAGTAGCCTTCCCCCTGGCTTGTGGATACCTCTCACAGCACTTCAGGCTGGTGGTGGCCACTGCAATGTCCTGGTGCTGTGACTCAAAAACAGGCACTCCTAGTGGTGGTGTCATAGTGTTCTCTCTCGTTGTGCCTTTTCCTTATTCCTAGACAAGATTGCACTAAGTAAGGATTTAAGGAGTCTGGTTTTCTTAGGCACATCAGTACTTGGGGATGCTGAGTTAAAATAATCCTCTACTGGCCTTGCAGGATTTCCAATAATAGCCTTATTTTGCTTGAATTCAAGCAAATCGTTCTATTGGGAGTATGGTTGGCCAGGATTTGTGCCTCCTGCCCCAAACTCTGGCTAGTACTGCCCAGAAGAGGGGCGGAGCTGCTCTCAGTGGTCACCTTTGATCTCCTTACAAGAGCTGCTCTGAAGATTTTTGCCTAGCAAGTGCAGAAGTCTTTGGCCTGCAGAATAGTTTAGAAGTGAAGGAGTTATTCCCTTTCTAACTTCAGGACCCAAGGATCTGATAGGAGGTGAGAACGGTGAGGTGAGTCTTTTTCTAACCCAACGGGCCTCCCAGTCTTTTCACCTCTAACTCCTTTCCTGCTTTACCTCCTATCTTCCACAGAATTATGTCTTTTTTTTTTTTTTCTGAATATGTCTTCTGCAGCTACTCTGCACCCTGTGCTGGCCCTTTTCTTACCTCTTCAAATTTGATTGCCTTTAATCAAATCATAGACAACTTGGCGAATCTCTCCCCAAGCTCCCAGACGTCCTGGCTTCTTTGAACCTTCTTGCCTCCTTTTCTTATTCTTCCTTTCATATCACAGACTCTGTACCCAACTCCGTGTACGTTCCTCTTTTCCTTAACTGCTTTTGTCTGAGGGGTGTTTGTACATGTCTATCTTTACCCTTTAATCCTTGCTCTTCCTAAGTATGTGGGGTAAAGTCTGAGAAAGAATTATGTTGACTAATGGAAAATTACTGTGTTAAAGATGAGCCATTCATACTAGAAAGGCAATTTTAGGTTTAAAGACCTAATAGGTGTATAAAATAGAAATGTAATGACATAGGCAGTAGTTATACAAATGCTGCTTTTTTTCCATTAGCCCATTTTGGTCAGTTACATTATGTTTATAGAACATCAATTTCAACCAGTACTTTCTCCTGTTGTCTTTAAGACTTTAATAAATTCAACAAAAACAAATGAACAAAAACCCAGGGGGGAAAAAAGTCATTTAGGAGCTCATTTAAAGTCAGTGTGGTTGAAAAGGCAATTATGTGGCTCCTGGCAGTTTTAGGAGGGTAACTGTCCCTAAATTGTGCTACCAAGAACAGACTGCCAAATCCCCTGGGGAGAATCATTGGTGCATGAACATCAGAGCCCAGCAGGGGCCTTCAGGTCCCTGAAGAGAGTTGTTCACCCTGTGTAATCCTGCATAGTGTTCAGGCTTCCTGGAATCAGTGGTGTAGGAAGTTGTGAGTGTTGCTGCCAAGGTTTGATGTCTTCTGCTTATAGCAAGAGGGGCACAAATAAAATATGGCTTCACAATGAGCAACGATTATAAGATTCCAGCTCAGCGGACTTCACTATGGTATTGTTTTCAAGAATCCTGAAGAAAATGAGGCAGGCTTTCTAACACTAGTTCATGGACAACTCGAGAAACACTTCACTTGGTGGGTTTTAGATATGGTTATACACACACACACACACACACACACACAGTACTCTCCCACTCCTGGGCTAGCTCTAACACAGAGTGCAGACAGATGCTTCTTATACTTTTCCCATTCCTTGGTGTTTCTAACTGTCTACCTGTCTTTCCCAGTGCAGACTCACCAGAGAAGGTTTAAAAAACCAGCACGTGGAAGACGCTGTAGCAAGAGTGACTTGGGGGCTGGGGTTGTAGCTTAGTGTAGAGCACTTGCCTCGTATGCATGAAGCACTGGGTTGATCCTCAGCACCACATAATAAATAAGCAAAATAAAAGTGTTGTATTCACCTACAACTAAAAGACTCAGTGTTACCATTGTCCCCAGAGATCAGCAGCAAAAAGACTAAGGGTGTGATGGGGTAACTCAGAAATGTTGCTCAAGCATCACTCAGGACGGGGTGATGTGGAAAAGTGGAGCAGAGGCTTCGAGGGCTGGAGATTGGTCTGGCCAATGGTGTACTTGCGTTTCAGGACAGCACTTTCCTTTGCTTCTTCCACAACAAAAACAATACTGAAACAGTCGAGGTCTTCATCTTTCCCAGGATGGGGGCACATGAAGGTGTGAAACGTAGAACAAAGCAACATGCTGATAACAAGCTAATAGGTGACATGAGGAAGAGAGACCTCGAATCCATTCCTCCTTTGTATTTTTCTCATTGTGCAAATTTTTCTACCCTGCTTGGACCTTGTTGCCCTTGTTTGAAATATGATGTGTTTATTTCCTACTGGAGTTTTTACAAAATTTAAATGAGAGGATATTAGTCAATTTTCAGCTACTACTGGACAATACCGGGAGCTACTATTATTATTTTTATTCCTAAGTTGGGGTAAATTTTTTTTCTATTAGATTTTTCAAGAAAACATCAGACATTAATTTTGATGATGTCTGTTTTATCTAACCTTGTTCTTTCTGTTGTTTGTGTTTTTGGTGTGATCTCTTAGAGGGCTTCTCTTCACACAAGGTTTACTATTATAAAAGATTTACTCTATTATACTTTTCTTCTGACAGTTTTATATTTATTAAGCTCTTACATTTTGATAAATAACTATTTTGACTTAGTTTTCATCTATGGTTCAAAGGAGTTCAACTTCTGTGTTCCCCCGCCCCCCACCCCCAATACTTGGAATTGAACCAGGGTGCTCTATCACTGAGCTACATCTCCAGCCCTTTTATTTTGAGATATGGTCTCCCTAAGTTGCTAAGGTTGGCCTCCTGCCTCAGCCTCCTGAGTTGCTGGGAATTCAGGTGTTCACCACTGTACCTGGCTCTTCTCATTGTCTTCTAATAAGCCTCCTAGAATTCCACATTAGAAGAATCTAGAAAGAAATATTTAAAACAAAAAAAAAAGCTCAGGCTTAAAAATTATTTTTCAGTATTTAAATGTCATCTCTTCCCCCAAGAATTGTTTCTAGCCGTATGAACCAGGTAATAATTATAAATTAACTTTCACCTTACCATCTAATGATGGATTCTAATTTTTCTGTGATTGAGAGAGGCACAAGGTTTTGAGCTAAAACACTAGGCCAGACTTGAAAGAGTAACGTTTTGGTTTCTCACTAAGCTAATTTTTGTTTTGGACAGGCACTGTTTTTCCTAATCAAGTCCTTGTGAGCCAAGCTGATTTTTCATTTTGTTTGATGTCATGGCAGAAGTCCTGTTAAAAAAACAAAAAAAATGAAAAAACTGGGAACACAAAATTCTTCAGTATGGTCTCTCCAAAAATACATTTTATCCTTCCCCTGCCCTATTTTTAGAAGTGAACAAATAAACTTGTGCACTCAATTTATAACAGTGAATGGCTTGGTTGTGTTGGTAAAGAAGCTGAAGCCCTGTTCAACCTTGATGTTGATTGTTATCCTTAAAGATAAAAGGGTGGAAAGAGGTGAAAATATGCCTTGGTACTTGATTCTTGTCTATTATTTTGACTGAGGACCTGGGACAGATATAAATGGGGAAAAGGGAGGGCACAAGATGGTTAGAGAAGCTGTCTTTCAATGTTGCTTGACCCAAAATAATAGCAATGCTAGCTTTATTTACATTTCATAAGAAATTCTGATAGTTTCTGCTCTGAAACTTAAAATGATTTTTGTAGAAACAAGGACTTGATTAACACTTTGTCATTAACATAGCACATTAGATTGGCTTGCCTTTGCTGGTTAGGTCATGTCCTTCGCTAAAGTTATGAATTTTGAGGGAAGAAATTGGGTCTTCGTTCCATATGCATAAATTCTGAATTCAGATTAGCAAGATATTAGAAAATGGGGATGACTGTTTGAGAGCAACTCTTTGAAGTAATGCTTTGGAAGTATCATCATGGGGATGTAGTGACTGAATCACCTGCATTTTCAGGACAGATCCAATTTAGAAATCTGTTCCCAAAAATGTGCCTGTGGTCTGGGCCAGACATGGTGGTGCACACCTGTAATCCCAGCAACTTGGGAGGTTGAGGCAGGAGGATCACAAGTTCAAAGCCAGCCTCAGCAACTTAGTGAGGCATTTAGCAACTCAGTGCGACCCTGTCTCTAAATAAAATTCAAAAAAGGACTGGAGGTGTGAATCAGTGGTTACGCACCCCCGGATTTAATCCCCAGTAACTCCCAGAAAATAATGTCCCTGTGGTCTGATCTTTAAGTTTAAAAAATACAGCCATTTAATGGGTTCAGATCTCATCTCTCTATTCAGCACATTTTAGAGCCCCAGTGTTAAGCTTATTTAGTGAAGTATGCCACACCCTTAGAAAGCCATCTTGTACCACAGAAACTCTTATGGATTTGATTTGTTCTGGAGTCACTGTTTAGACACTTAGCTCAGGCAGTTCCTTTGCAGAGCAGGCCATATAACCACATCAACCATGGGTGTGTTGTGCCCCAAGGAAGGAGAGAAATCTCCTCATGGAATGAGGTTGAGGTGGAACCAAAACAAATTATGATATGGATATTTGTCAACTCTTTGCTGCAGAACCTCTGTTAGTGATGTTATATATGGAAGTTTAAAATGTGAAACCTTTCAAAGCTGAGGTGGGAAGCCAGCAACCACACCTTCCGGGCCTCCCCTTCCCATGCAATAGCAGTCTCAAGGCTCCTGAAGAAGACCTGTCAGGACCCCATGGCACTTGGCAGGCAGAACCAGTGACTGAGCAGGAGCACTTGGATGCATCTCAGCCCCGGATTCCCACCTGGCCAGACTCGGGACTCTGTATTCCAACTTTGGCAGGAGGTGTCTCTTGAAGAAGACCTTTAGCTATTTGTCCCCATGCATTTCCCAGTGGTAGGCAGCGGTCATCTGCCAAGCATTGTTCACTCACGTCCTGTAGGGACTGCAGGTCCTCCGGGGTTGGGTGGCCTCTGCAAACCTTCCTCTCCTCCAGTGTGGTCTGCTGTGGTGTAGCTTCCGGTGCTTGACTCCTTTCTCCGCTGGGTTCCCTGGTGTGGCTGGATTTGGTACAGGCTGTGGAAGTGGGGAATGTGCAGTCCAGTTCCTTAGTAGCCCATTTGTCCTGATCATTTCTTTTTTTGCTCACTAGATGATGATTCCGATTTGTACTCTCCCCGATACTCCTTTTCTGAAGACAGTAAGTGACTGAGTTTCCTGGTTGCGGGGGAGAAGGGGGGATGGTGGATGAGGGAAGACATCTTCTGGTTTCAATTTTCATTGGTTTGTAAAGTCGTCCTATGCACTTGCTTTCTCTAGCAAAATCTCCCCTTTCCGTGCCTCGCTCAAAAAGTGAGATGAACTACATTGATGGTGAGAAGGTAGTTAAGAGGTCAGCCACGCTACCCCTCCCTACCCGCTCTTCCTCACTAAAGTCAAGCCCAGAACGGTAAGTGGTGCCTCGCGAGTGTTCACCATGACCAGCCAAGTGCCTTGTCAGCATTTCCTGAGACCCAGGTGCCTCCTTTCTTAGGATGGATTTAATTTGAATCCCCTGATGTTACCTACCAGCAGTGACTTATTCTAAGTCTCAATGTCCTTATCTGTAAAATGGGGATAAAAACCTTGACTGCTTTGTGCTCAATGTTGCAAGGATAAACTGAGATAGTGCACATAAATATTCCTAGTAGTGCCTGGCTTGTTGTGTGGCCTTAATTAATGTCAATTATAATTATCATCACTTTTTACATTTTCATAAGAAAAGCCTTACTGCAAGATTTGTCACAGGTTTTCATATTCTATGTCCATATTAACCCTGTTTATATATTCATAGCAGAGAATAAAATGAAGCCACACTTTTAATGTCTATTTATTTATATGTCATGTATCATCAAGATGTAAGGTTTGGAGTTATTAAGAGGTGACATTAGTTATCCCTTAATGCCTGTGCTGAACAACCCGATTTTTTTCCCCCCAGTGTGGGGAATTGAACCCAAGGATGCTCTATCACTGAGCCACATCTCCAGCCCTTTTTATTATTTATTTTGAGAAAGGATCTCACTAAGTTGCAGAGGCTGGCCTCAAACTTACAATCCTCCTGCCTCAGCTTCCCAAGTAGCTGGAATTACTGGCCCCTGTTTTCTTTTATTTAGTTCTTATCTCTAAAAGTGCCCTGTGGAGCAACCATTTCATGCCATCTGGACATATGTCCCATGCAGCTTCCAGCCCAAACTTCTATCAGTCTCCACATAAAAAAGGCTCTGGTCAATTCAAACAATTTTTCTCTCAAATGCACATCCAGTCTCACTTTGGCTCACCTTTCCATCCTCACAAACAAAGCCCCACATATACCTAGTGGCATCCACCTGAGGAGTTAGGTAATTAATTTGAAAGGTAGGCTAGATATGTCCATAAGTCCTTTAGAGATGCATTCATCAGGAACTTACTGGCTACATTTTATGCAGATTATATCAGATGTTACAGATGTTGTCCTGCCATCAAGAAGTTTTCAGCCTTACACGAAAAACAAAATGCAACCACACAGCAAAGTAGTAATACACCTGCATAAAAATCTTGCACACAGTTTCCAAGGATTTGTGTATCTTCTGAAACCCATCACTGGATACCAGGTTAAGAATATGCACCAAAGATTGAGATTGGCAGGTAGTAGGGTGGGGTATGGATTAGGGAAGAACATAGTCATAGTAACAGGTAATGTTTATCTAGTAATTCCTGTAGGTCTGGCACTTTGCTTTCTGATTTACATGTACTGTCTCATTGAACCCTTACGATGACCCCTATTTTTCAGATGAGGAAACTGAGGTTCCAAGAGGTAAAGTACTTGGCTAAGATATCTAGTTACCAGGTCTTATCAAAAGTATTTGAGCCATAGTCAAGTAGCTCTAGGACCTATGTTCTCTCTCTGCACTGGCATGAGTGGGAGATGCCGGCATGTTTGGGGAATGATAAACTCATGAGAGCAGAGCGAGGTGAAAGGTTTTTCCAGGTCAGCTTTACCATTTCTTTCTCCTCTCTCCTTTTCTTCATCTCTCCAATTGATTGTGCCTCATTTTCAGCACAGGATGGCTCACGCCCTTTGTGAATTCAACACAGAGATTTAACTGGTTGTTTTGAAAAATGAACCAGCACAACTGAATTATTCACCCTTACTCTAATTTTATGCTTTGGATATAAAAATTCCTTGATCAGACGGTAGCCAACCAAAGTCAGACTGTGTTGGAAGCTGATGCCAGTTTTCATGACAATAGCTGAAATAGGATTTTCTGTCTGCAGAAACGACTGGGAGCCCCCAGATAAGAAAGTGGATACGAGGAAATATCGTGCAGAGCCCAAAAGCATTTACGAATATCAGCCGGGCAAGTCTTCTGTTCTGACCAACGAAAAGATGGTAATGTGCATGTTAAAGTTCTTTTGTCTCTCTCTCTGCCCATGTTCTTTAATCCAGATGCATTGTTCAGCTGGATTATATTCATTCCCCCTTGAGATAGACTTTCTTTGTTTAGAAGACAATGAAAAAAATGAATTATTTTTACCCTTTCCATTGTTGCAGGTGTTGATAAAATAAGTCCTAAGAGTCTCCTTTTAAAGAATCCTCTTATTGTGGCTCCGTTGCTCTATTTTGTGCATGGTTTTAACTAATTTAAATTTTTCTACTAACATACAGATTGATTTTGCTGCTGTCTTTTAAAAAAAAATGTCTAACCATTAATGTATCAGGCTTATCATTAACTGGAATAAGTCAGGGTTTTTTAAAAAGTGACTTTTATGTGAACAAGGATAAATTTTGTAGGATTTACCAGTATATCATTAAAAGCCAAATAATTGATAAGATGTTATAACTAGAGGCAAAAGCCCCAGGCTATTAGAATATATCTTTTAGGTCTTCCTTTTTTGGTAACTACAATAATGAGGACTAATTTCATATGCAACCTGGTTCTAAAGTTTACATCACAAAGCAATTATGATTGAGAAAATGATCTGTTTCCAGACCACCCTGGAAAAATGGCCTCTTCTGTGAAATGGGAAGAATTTTTATAAGCTGTCTAGTTTCGTATCTGCCAATCATGCTTCCTTTTATTCATCCTTCATTAAAAAAAGCTGGTTCGAAATTCTGTGTGGTTAAAGGGATTCTCCAAAGCTCCATAAACATTGCAGCCCTCTGGCTGTGGCAACAGGATGGAATGATTATGCTGGAGATTGGTTTTTATTAAATACTGTTACCATACCATAAGCAGGCCCCCTGAAATGCAGGTTCAAATGATTTCCCTCTACCTCTCCTGCTCTACATGTTTTTAAGGAACAGTCAGGTTGACTTTTACTGCAATAAAAATGTGACATCTTCAAAAGCACAGAGGGATAAGTAATTTTAATTAGGAAAAGAGGTCAACAGTTCACAGAAGTGCTTTTAGAGTTGTCATTCTTCAGCATTTACCATGAACTGCAGGTATTTTAAGCAGGAGATGTAGAGACAAGCAGAGGATCTTGCCTCTGGTTCCCCTCTTCATTGAAGGTTCTCTGCCTGTTAGAAGGTGCCTCGTTCATAATAAACACAGAAAGTACCCTTCCACCCAGAAAAGCATGTTCTTCAGGTATATTCCTAACACTTAATGTTATCGTGATGTAGTGTGTAATAACGTAGTGAACCACAGTCACATAATCACACACTTAAAAGATTTCAGGGACTTTGCAGGCCTTTGGTCATTTGCCAAGTGACCATTTAGAGGCTGTCATTGCTCTTACTGAAGGTGTGCCCTTTTTTCTTAATTTCTTCTTTGTTTCCACTTCCTCTGACTAGTAATTTAATCACTATTCAGAACCAGGAAAACAACAACATAATTTTGTTTCCTTCGTTGATATCACAGGGTACACGTATCTCCCACACCACGGTTCTTGGGCTCATTTACATTGGGTTTTTTTGTTTGTTTGTTTTATTATTGATTTTTTCTCTTTCCACCTTTTTTATTTGTGCATCATAGTTGTATACAATGATGGAATCTATTGTTACTTATTCCTACATGGACACAATGTAACAATAAGATTTGGCCAGTATCACTCTCCAGCCCTTACTTCCCGCTCCCTTTCCTCTTTCCACACTCTGGTCCCTTTCTTCAACTGGTCTCCCTTTGATTTTCATGAATTCACCGCCCTCCCTCCACACTTCTTTTTCGTTTTCCTCTGGAGCTTCCACATCTGAGAGGGAGTATGTTGATTTTTTTTTTTTTTTTTAACTAGTCTTGAAAAGTGGTACACAGTGCCCTCTAGAGGCCCTCTGGGGACTGGTGAGACCCAAAGAACTCTGTTGCACCAGGCCTGAGACTGGTCCACCAGGGCATGTGGGTACCAATGGCAGACCAGGGAGGAACTGCCTGTCCAGTCATTTAATTCCAGCACCTTTCACCTAGTATTGCTGGATTCTTCCCAAGAGAAGGTTTCCATTTAGAGAGGAATTTCAACTGAATCTTACTCATTTGACAGTCAGCCCTTCATGATACTTGAATTAGTCCTTTATGGTTAATTTTTTTTTCCTGTTATTTTTATCACATGAACAGAGAAGCTGGAATGTGAGTTTCAGTGTGTAAGTCTTGCCTTTTGGTATCCAGTATTTGGCTTACCAGAATTTGAGCCCCCAACATATACTTTTTTGTTCTTGTTGTTGTTAATTGCCAGTAAGTATACAAACTAATGACAGATGTAATATCTAAGCTTGTTTTCAGATGTGCATTCTCATTTTTACCCCATTAAAAGTCTCATGATTGTTTAACTAGCAGTTTAAATGATGATCTCAAGGCTTAGTGATACATTGACAACAAGAGTATTGAGTGGTAGACTTTATCAGCCACAGTTTATCTTGCCCTGGAGTACCCACACCACCCAAGACCCCTGAAACACTGCTACCTTCAAAATGCCCCACGGATTTACAAACTTGGTAACCTCTTCACCTATTTGATAGACTCATGAAGGTCTAAGTATATTTGGCCCTTCTCTTATCATAATAAAAGTCTATTTCTTCCCTTCTGGACTTGGAATTGGAAATCTACTCGTTGGTCCCTGTTTTGTCACAAATGACCTTATTCAGGCTTTGTTCCTTTATAGTTTCCTCTGAAGTCCCTTACAGAGCATGAGCTCAATTTAACAAATACATAGAACAATTCCTACATGCTAAACTTTGGGTTAAATGTTGTGGTCCCTGCTGTCACAGGTATAAAATACAAGGACATACATTTCAAATAATAGTTACAGACATGACATATTTGAAGCATAAAACAAGGGGATTTCCCCAGCTTGATTTCTTCCCAGTTCACCCTTATTTTGGCATTTCAAGTTAGTTACTAGCCCTGCGTGGTCTTATCTGCAAACTCTGTGGATCTGTCCCCTCTCATTCAGAGTATGAGATGTGGAATGTAGTATAGAAAACAGAATGCTGGACCAGAAATTGGAAGATGTAAGTTCTGGGCTCCAGTTCTGGCTCTGCTGTGTCTTTGGGCAAATCACTTGACCTTCTTGAACTTCAGTGTTTTCATCTGTAAATAGAAATATTATGTAGCCTGTCAGATTTAGTGAAATATTGAGCAAGATGGTCAAATGGGATAATATAGACACAGACCAGTGAATATTATCAAGGGCTGTGCAAATGAACATATGAACAAATATGAACAAATGTCCAGATGATTTATTTAATTAAAATTTTAAGCTGGTCTCTGGCTCCTGTTCAAGCAGCAAAACTGTCTTTGAATAGTTGACATTTTCCTGGCAAGCCACTCGTCCTTTCCAAGAATCTTATCAAGCTGGGAAAAAATAGCCAGCAAAGAACATAGCCTGGCATTATGGAGTGTGCTCTGCCTGATGGGACAAGGTTCCTTCTCTGCACCCTGAAGGATGTTTTCTACTGATGTGTTCCTTACTTGGATCTACAGCTGAGTTATACTTGAAAATTGCAGGTGTTCGTGCTATATGGTATCACCTTTGTACCTCTATCTCTAGGCAGCACCTCAGGACAGAGGTTTAGAACTGCAGGATCAGGACCCGAGTTGTCTGACCTGCCTTCTGATTCTGTTCTCAACCCAGCATTAACCTCATCTATACGGCAATCTGCAGACAGCATTCAGGAATATAATGGGTTAATTCTTTCAGGACTGTGAATACCAAAACTTTCAGGCAGTTTCCTGAAAGAATTGGTACATTTTATTGAAAAACAAAAAAATCCTAACCTCCCAGAGAGCAGTTTATAAAGTAGGATTTGTAAAAATAATAAACACTAACTAGGTCTCATGAAACCCCATTATATTAGGATCTAGCATGTCTCAGTGTCTAAACTGTTATTCCTAAATGGTTGTGTCTTTTTAGGCACTATGCCTCATTTCACTAAATATATACAGAATCCATTTATTACAGGCAGGGCTGGCCTTCCCCTTCAAGACTGGAGCTTTAGGTCCCTACAGACAACAGTAGGAGGTTTATCTGTATACAAGGGTCAGACCTTGTGTTTCAGTATTTATTTCCCTGTGATTTCAACTTAGTTTAATTTCATTTAAAGAAAGGCGCTGTGCCATATATTCATATCTTCCTTTACCTATAAACGGGAAGTGCAGTAATGGTGCAGATTCTCCTAGGGTTCTGGGAAGAAGGGGCTGGTAAAGATCACCAAGACAGTTTGCAGCCTTTTCTACAAGCTGCAAAAGGGCTGATAACTGATTTGTTGAGGAAAGCACGTCCAGGAAGCACTGCTTTGTGATGGTAGTTGAAGACCTGTCCATGGTGCATGATAGCTCTCTTCAGCTCGTAGCCTGGAGGTAGTTAAGTTTCTTGTATGGTGTTTTCAACCCCTGTAGAAAATACATACATTTTATATTTCCAATTGTAGAAAATCATCGTACTCTTATTTATGATTATCAAAGTTTTTTTAAAAAAACATACGTATATGAGTTTAATTCAGCCATGAACCTCAAACACTTTTGTCTGATGTGAATGCATCTCCAGGGTATGAAGGAGGAAACCTGATTCTTTCTAGATATTCATTTTCCAACTGATTATTTTCAGAAGTTTATGTTACTCCCCTGAGTAAGGTACCAGCCCTTTGTACATATTTGATTAAACATTAAAGCCAAAAAGTCAGATTACCAGTCTATGTGATACCTTTTAGAGTTATATGAAATGAGAAATCTTATTTTTTGTAACATAACCCAGAAGTTTTCTTCCCCCTGTTCTGTTATCTGTCTTGTCTGGCTTTTCCCTCACTTAATTTTTTTCTAGTTCTTTAACATTTATTTGTTAGAACACAAAGTATATTCTGTCTGTACTCATCTCCCACAGATGCTTGTTTAAAATGTTTTTTCACTTGTGTTCTCTGTTCTTACTTATGTCATCTTCCACTTTGCTGTGTACAGGACATGGTTTCTCACCTGTTCATGTGCCATTAAAGATGCAGTATTAACCAATTGGCTTTTATAAAGTGTCAGTATTTTCGTTTATTTTGAAAACCTCAAGGCAACCTTACAAATAAGCACTAAAACTGTACTAGCCCATAAAAACTGTTTGCTCTACTCAACTGGCATAAATGCTCAATGTTTGGTGTGCTCACCAGTTTATTTGTTCATAACTAATAGTTCTTTGCAAGAGGAAATAGGGGCTTTCTTTTTCTCCCACAGTATCGAGAATTATTGAGGAATACTGCTATGCCCACATTCAGATTTCTTGTGAGGAGCTACAGTGTGGTGCAGAGTTCGCCATCTCTAGTCCATTTGCCTCTGCTGTAGGACTGAGAATGAGTCACATGCTTCTCCCTACCTCAATTTCCCTGTTTTCATAAACACGTCCTCTCCCTCCTGTTTTAGCTCCCTGATTTTGCTGATGTCAGTAAAAAATGGACCATTGCTGCTGTTGAATGCAGCTGCTGGAAATCCCTGGAAACCACTGCATCTCTACTGGCCTGTTCCTATGTAATCTTTGCATAATGTTATCCTTCTCTTTCTTCCATTTCCCTATCACCAACCCCTATAGAGTCGGGATATAAGCCCAGAAGAGATAGATTTAAAGAATGAGCCTTGGTATAAATTCTTTTCGGAGTTGGAGTTTGGGAAACCGGTAAGTTTAATAGCTTCAGTGGTTCTACACCTTTTTAAATAATGCTGTTGATGCATTGTTGCTGCTAAAGGATCAGATCCATGTGTGAGGAATTCAGAAAGTGGGGAGCAGTCAAGTAGGTTGTCAGTAGTGGGATTGTCTTGTCTTATTACAACCTCTAAGTTTTCCTTACTTTACTTCACCAAGAGAGGACAGTGAGCTCTGGAAGAATACCTTACCAGAATATCCCAAAGAGCACAACTAAACCATTGCTTCTTCTGGGACCTCCCCATTGACACCAACTATCACAAGCTTTGTGGATGGCGTTCTTTCTGCCAATGGTTCACTGCCTTGCCTAAAGTCTGTATGGCATGCTGAAGACAAACAGGGAAATGTGTTACATGACAGGATGGCCAGCATGATTGCTGCCTCAAGTAACATTTTTCCAAGCACCTAGGTGAGGCAAGTGCCTGAATGGATCACAAAAAAAAAAAAAAAAAAAGTTATTTTTTTCCTCTGTGGGTGTAGCTATAAATGCAGCCCTAGCCCCATGATAGGCAACTTTTAAGAAAAAAATTTTATAAGTTAGAATAATATTTTCCAACATTTGGAATCGAGGTTAGAAATTCTAGCAAATGTAGGGTTCAGACTAATATCTTGCAGCTTCCCGTATGACAACTCTAAATTGGCTTTTGTACAAATTGACCTTGATACTTAATGAAGGGTTTTCTTAGCCCTGCACACAAAGGAATATCAGACAGAAGGGATAATCGAGCTCATCCATCCACTCGAGATGACTAGACATTGCCTTTAAAACTCTACTTACTATAAAACCTTAATTATTACAGATTCAAAAAGAATTTGTGGGTGGAGGGGATAGCATAAGAAAACATTTTATTAGGTTTTGTATGAGATTTAAGCCGTGAAATCCAGCTTTTGAATAAAGGTGGATTAGGATGATAGTTTTATTTGCAGCCAGGAATTAACTTAATCGTTCAGTAAAAGATTAAATTCTGTTGTGTCTTTCTTAATAGAAAGAAGTTAAACTGGTACTCTAAGATTGACAATTTGATTTAGCAATGCTGAGCTTTCTTTAGAAGTTCAGATTCATGAGTTGGGAGCACCTGGCTTGCAACATCCTACTTGTAGGAACAGGTGTTCTCTTCTTCTGGTCCCTCACAGTGGCTGCTTAGCCATCCTCCATGAAGAGGGCCACCTAGAAACAGTGGAGAGGGAAGCATCCAGCCTAAACTGCCCCTCTTTTCCTCTCCCCTCCCCAAAGCTTTGAGGAGGGGACACCTCATTTCTTCTCCTCTCTCTCCCTTTTTTCTCTGCCACCATTTAAACATCAAGTCTACTCAAGAAATCTTTTCCACATTCAAATGTATAACAGTATCCTGACCCTTTTCCTTTTCTTCTTTTTCTTAAAACCTGCTCAATTATTGCACAAAAAACTTCTTTTGATATTCAGATAGTTCTTCCTCTTCCCCCCAAAAAACACCACGATTGATATATGTAACAATAATATGCTACTTTGATTCAGGAAAGCAAAAGCTATTTACATTAGGTTTAATAAAGTTTCCATGCGATTGTTTTTGAAATTCCTTTCAGAAGCCAAAAATTTCTAGCCATCTTCTCTGTCAAATAATTGAACTAGTTTTTATCTGAAATGTAAGCTTTTAGGAAAAAATCATGACTTTTTTTCCCTAGTTAATTGTGATTGGTTTATGTTTCTAAATCATTGTAAACAATTTATCATTACATACAATATTCGTTGGCAACAATAGACAACATTGCTTTCCCAGCATACATTCAATAAGCTGGGAATAGCTTGGTAAGTTAACACGGACTCTAGGGGAAACTGATCTGAGAACTGTACAACCATCTCAAAACAATACTGAGAACACAATCCATTTGTTTATTGGGACCTTCCTATAACTTGTATTCCTATTGCTTTAAACACCCTTCATTATTTAGACTTAGAGATACTTTCAAAATGTCCTCTTCTCCGAAGCCACACACATTCCTTGCACCGACCTCCTAATCCTAATGGGACTGCTCCCTTCTGTGTAGGTCTTACTTTAAAAGATAATAACACTTTTGAAGACTTGCCAAAATAACCTAATCAATGCCCATATCCTGAGGAACTGCATTGAGATAAACAGTTCCTTAATGGCTTGAGGCACCTAAGAGTGGGCTTATTATCAAGTTGAACCAACAGATTTGGGAAGACAGTATGACAGGGAGAAATTTTTTCTTTGTCTTTCTGCCTCAGCCACTATGGACCACAGAGGAGTAAGAGACATAAAATGGTGTAAATCTTGGGAGTTACTTTGGAAATTTTTCTAAACATTCAGAAGCAGATGAAATAGAAACTCCTACCAAATCACATAAATTACCATTCCTACCTTTTTTTTTTTTTAATTGTTGTTTGCACCAGCATGAGTTCACTTCCCCTAAGTTAAGCCCACCAGAAATTTGGCACTAGACTTTTACCTTGAACTCTTCCTCAACTACTTCACTTAAAGCCACTTAAAATGAATTTAGCAAGATTCAGACTATAACAACTTTTAGCTCAACAAGTTATCACACAGCAGCAAATAATTCAAGATTACAGGGACCATTTTGGGGATGGCTATTTAAAACCAATTTAATTTGTAAATACTATCTTGGTTTTTTGTTTACTGTTTTTTTTATGATAAAGAAATAAGTAGGGGTAACATGTAACTATAAAAAGACTACTTCCCAGATAAACAGTCCAAATGTATTAAGTGCTAAAGATAAACACTATTGTTAATATCATTTAACTTTACAAAACGCAGAATATACATATACAGAGATGACATTACTGATCTGTTGCCATCAGTGGTGAATGTATTTTGGATCACTTTTCTTTTGCAGATTCATTACAGAGAACCTGAATATCAGCTTTTCCTTCTCCTTTCTCCTCTAACTTCTACAGAAATTGACATGATTTTCATCCACAACTCAAGGCCACATTTCTCAACACAAACCAGTTGGAATGTTTCCAAAGATTGTTTATAATGAAAGTTGCATAAAATTGTGGGAGCTCAGTAATGAGATGTTTCTCATCTCCTCAGAGGTCCTTGTCTAAGAGATTTCAAGTAGGCAAGAAGAAGAAAGTCCAGGGGGCAGGAGAGAAGCCCCAGAGTTAGAGAGAGGCTGAGGCAGGAGGAACAGAAGTTCAAAGCCAGCCTTAGCAACTTAGTGAGATCCTACCTCAAAAACAAACAAACAAACAAAACAAAAAAGAAAGAAAGAAAGAAAGGGATGTTGCTTTGGAACTTCTGACTATCCTGTGCTCCAAACCCTTCCATTGTTAAATCTACAACAACCACCCAGAAGATTTCCATCTTAGGGATGTAGCTTTTAATTCTAACATGAAGGGTTAAGTAGAAAATAAAAATAAAAATAAAAATAACCTTACCAGTCTACTGTTTGAATTCTAAGTTTAAACTCTCTAAGGAGGATGGAACTGTGTCTTTACTGACAACAATATCTTTAAAGTCTAGTTAAACTATAAAAGGAGAATTAAAAACCACCACTATGAATTTGTCTAGTGTACCATTTCTGCCTATTTTGTATGAAGGTTTTATTGCTACAAACTACAGGAAACACATATAGTTCAGTTTACCCTCCATTAGTCAAACATCTAGATTCACATATTTGTTAACATATAATGAATTATTATTTTTTTTACAGTAGGGAAGAATGTTTCAAAAATGTATAATATCCAGTGTTAGTTTGGAAAGAACAAGGGGGGATTTGAAAGTTTCTGATTTGGTTCAAATTTGTGTTAATGCTTTTTTGGTTTTTCCCTTTCCTTTTTGTAAGTTTTCAATACTTAGAAGCTAATGCTGATTTGCTCTGGAGACACAGTCGTTAAAAACACACTTCCTAGTTAGTGATTCCAGGTCCTCCCTGGGGCAGGCAGCCTCAAGTCCTCAGGCAGAGTCCCCAGCCCTTTGCTTTGAGTTGGCCTCTCTATGTTGGTACAGTTTTCCCAGTGTGCCCCTCCTTGTTTGAGCCAGCCTCCATGTTTGTCTTTATGTCTTTATGCTCATTTCTTCATTTCCTCCTCTGCTTCCCGTCAGCCTCCCAAAAAGATATGGGATTATACTCCTGGAGACTGCTCTATCCTTCCTAGAGAGGATAGAAAGGTAATTCCGCTGTGCCTCCTCCGTGGACTGTGTGTGTGCTCTCTAGCCTTGGTTAGTGTGAGTGTTGTGGGTTTGTTTTCTTTTCTTAAATCATTTTTTTTCTTTTTTGTTTTTTGTTTAACTTGATACTTTTTTTTTTTAACTTGGTGATAAAACTATTTAACAAAGTCTCTAAGACATATACTAATGTTTAGAGGTTTTTAAAAACAATTACTTATTCTTCTGACATACGGTATGTGCCACAGTCACTTAGTCTGAAAAGATAGAAAGTAGGCTTTTTTCTTAAAGGTAGGGTTTTTTTTTTGTGGTATTGGTAGTTCTCGTTAGCAAGTAGAATAGACTTTTGAAGCTCTGATACTTCAGGATTTCTGTTGTACATGCCTAATGTTGCATTCTCTGTTTTCATGTCTTTAATTTCTAATGAGCTCTTATGATTAACTCATGCCATCTGGGCCTTATTAAAGTATAACACTAAAAACTTCATTTTCAAACTTAACCTTCCATTCTGTCCCCTTTCGTCTAAACTAAAACATTCTTTCCCATCTTTTCTTTCTTGAACCAGACTAATCTAGAAAAAGATCTCAACCTCTGCCAAACAGAGTTAGAGGCAGATTTAGAAAAAATGGAGACGATAAATAGAACACCCAGTGCAGACCTGCCACAGGTATTTCCCGGTTTTTCTCATGCTGTCGGTTCCTTTTCAAACTCTGCTTTGTTTTCCTCTCTGTTCTATGGTTTCTGATGTAGTTGAGGTGACAGACGGTGATGCTGGTTATTTTAAGCTGCATGGCTTTTTGATTCCTGTTTGAGACCCCACCCCACTGCCAATTTTTTGTTTGGATTCCTTTTGAGCTTGGCATCTCCCTTAAAGGGCATTTTTCAAATATGCGCAGAGTGGCTGGTGATTTAAACTTGCTCCCCCGCTCCCCGCTACAGCCTTACCATTCTTTTTCTTTGCTTTTTAGAGGGTGACCCTTTTAAGTTCCTTTCCTTTGCCTCTGTTTAGCTTCTCTGAATTTTCAGGGAGTTATTTTTTTCAGGCAAGTTCTTTGTCTTTTTTTGTTGCCCTGGGAGATACCAACCTCAGAGGTCATTTTCAAAAACATAGCAGAAGTCATTTGAGTGCCTTTTCTGTTTAAGTCCCTGTCAAAGCTGTAGTATTTATATTTTAAAGCTCATAAAGTTCTCAATGAAAAAGTGCACTTCAGAAGTCAGACAGCCTAGCCATAAACAAGTATTGGAGACCGAACCTGCATCAATATTTTTAAAGGGAGCTTTGTCAAAATGTCATTTATTAATAGATAGGGGAGAGAGCCAGGTGTGGTGGTGCATGCCTGTAAACCCAGTGGCTTGGGAGGCTGAGGCAGGAGGAACAGAAGTTCAGAGCCAGTCTTAGCAACTTAGTGAGAACCTGTCTCAAAAAAAAAAAAAAAAAAAAAGAAAGAAAGAAAGAAAGAAAAATGGCTAGGGATGTTGCTCAGTGGTTAGTACCCCTGTGTACAATCTCTGGTCCAAAAAATAAGTAAATAAATAAAATAAAAGTAGGGGAAAGAGAACCAGTTCAAGGTTAATGGGTTTCTGAGGACAAACCAAATTTTTGCAGAACTGTCCCCAGGACTCCCTGGCAAAATTAAGGCAAGTCTTAGAGGAAAAGCTAACTTTAGAGAAAGTTAAAAGGAATGTGGACACTGCCAAAGAGGCCAAGAAGGTCCCTGGACTATGGCAGGAAAAGTGGAAAGCACTAACAGATCCATGTTATATGGAAGCAGAACTAGGACAAAAAGGGTTGGACCACCAACACGAGGGGTGTGAACAGTGATGTGGATGTTGGAAACTCAAACCAGAAAAAGGATGGAGTAATCAGGGGATTATGGTAGCAACCACTGTGGGTTCAATCCCTGGTAAGAGCATCCAGTGTCCAAAGTCAGTGACCTGCAGGATAGGCAGGGCAGTTAGATTCAGAGATCCAGAGACACAGAAGGATGAGGAAGCAGCATAGCCAGTAGTTAGGCCCAGGCCCTCCCTTAAAACTTGAAAGAGGTATAAGAAGTGAGTCACCATGCACACAATTGAGGCAGATGGGTGATTGGGATTGGGGGAAGCTGGGCAAGGAGGAACCTGGTGTAGTTACTGTTGGATTGAAACTTCCAGTGGGGTGCAGACCATAGCAAGTTCTGGAATAAGAACTGTGGTGTCAGGTAAGTCCTGATGTGGGCTAGGATACAGGATGGGAGGTCTGTGATAGGTTGGCCAAGAATGAATCAGGAGGCACTTTTCAAAGTAGTCCAAAATAATGTAAGCTTCCGTAAGCCATGCAAGGATGGGAGGCAGCTAGAGAGCCCCTGATCTAACTGCTACCTTCCTGAGGGCAGAGCGTGTTTCCAGCACTCAGAACTTAAAGAAGTGTCTGGTGCCTCTGTGAATCATCTTTACAGTGGTTCAGTTGACTGATGCCTGTTATTGGTGTGAATATGTGTGGGACGTTGCTGGTGGAGTCCTGCTCCGACACAAGAAGAGAGCCTTTGCCTTCAGGAACTTGACAGTTCAGTTACACTCGTAAGTAAAAGATAGCGGTGTCTGCTAAGAGTTAAATGAACGGCATGGGCTCTGAGGGCCCCAGAGAGAAGTCTTATGGGAAATCAGGAAGACTTCTCAGAGGAGTTAGCCGAGATCCAAAAGGGTGAATGGAACTTAAGCACATGGCAAATAGAGGATGTCCATTAGAAGCACTGGGAAAGCATTGTAAAGATCACAGAAGCACAATAATTAAGGGATAGGACAAGATCTTTTGGAATGAGAATTTTAGGGTAAAAATAGTAGGAGGTAGGTTTGGGAAAGAGTCTTGACCCTGGATTGTAGAGGTGCAGAGAATATGGCTAAGGAGATGATGAATTTTGCCCTCAAATCAGTGATGTACTTCTGGAAGTATTTTAGGGAGACTAATGGCATTGCTCTAGAGAGGATGAATTGAGGGAGAGGACACTGGAGTCTCAGAGGTGAGTAAGTTGTGGCTGTAGTCCAGGCAGGCAGTGAAGAGAGCCCTTACAGAGGGCTGGGAGATGGGAGAGAGATCACCCAGGAAATTGCAGTGGGACATTTTACCTAATTGGTGTGAGGGACAAAGAACTGGGAGAAGAGAGACAGACAGACATCTGTAAAGGAAGTATGAGAACGACCCAAGTGCTTCAGAGAGTCCCAAAACATGGACTCCCAGGAAAGGTCAGTGGAATTGATAACTAAGAAATTAGTCAAGACTTTGAAGGGCGCTGGCTGAGTAGTTGTTGGGAGTTAGATATTTGCCAATGATGAGGGAATCCGGCGGAAGTGCAGCACTGATTGAGAAGATGTAATTATAGAAGGAAGGAAGGGAGTGGGATGTTCCCTGAGGATGTCACAGCGATGGAGACTAGGGCAAGGTCTTCCAAGGTGGAAGAGCAGAATGGAACAGATGCCGAGAGGTAGGAGATTCAAGATGGAGAGAGGAAGGTCAGTGAGACCAGGGTAGCCAGAGGGCTGGAGGATGAATGTGGAGGTAAGAGTTGGTGCTTTCTCATCCTGGACAGAGATGCCCTCAAAGATGAAAGGTGGGTGTTTTGGCAAGCAGAAGGCAGGGTGAGTGAGCCTCCATGAAGGCCTCCTACTCTGTGCCATCTCCTTTCCCTCTTCCACAGTCTCTCCCTTTTCTTTCTCTTTCTCTCCTGTCCCTAAATGTCTCTTCTCCAGATAGCTTGTTTTCTTTAAAATGATTATTATTATTTTAAATAGGAGTATTAATTTTTTTAAATAGGAGTATTTTAAATAGGAGTATTAATTTTTATATTGGTTTATTGGAAAATAAATATATTGAGCCCTTCACATTTTTCTCTCCAAGACAACAAAAGAGACCCTAACCTACACTTATGTTGCTTTCTCTCTGCATGTAGCTCTTGGTGATTTTCTTCTTTTGTGTGGTGGCCTGTAGTTTCATAAAGCATTCCCTGAAATGGTCATTAGTAGGTTTTTGTGAAATTATGTTTTTCCCCATTTCCACACTTTTCAATCTGCAGCCATAAACAAATTATCTGAATACAGTGTGGTCTTTCAAAATGCATTTTTGTGTGCATTCTGTATCTAAAGTGTTGCATTACCCTCTCTCTGGATGTGGTACCTCGGGTGCATGAAGGGATCTGCAGTGAGCACAGCAGGGGAGTCTGAGGGCTGGGGAAACGCTGGTGAAGGGTGTGCTGTTGCATATTGGCCCAGAGGAGGACCATTGCCTGGTGGACCTGCAACTGAAGACAATTAAGTCAGGAGGCCATCTCCTGACTCACCCAGAGAGCTGTGGCTGTATCAACTGGAAGGAAAAGTCCAGAGCATGGAGAACCCCTGTACCCTGAAAGCTTCCTCTCCAAGAAGAGCACCACCCTTCACCAGCACCAGAAACCTTTGCATCCAGGCCCCTTGGCTCCTAGAGATTTTTGTCTAAATTAGGAAAGGAAAGTGGCTTCTATCTTTTCCCCTTAGCTTGAAATCTCTGAGACAAAATAAATCATCTACAGATTCTTCTTCTTCTTTTTTTTTTTTGCATTTGCAGAGCTCAGCAGTCAGCCCCTCTCTGGACATCTCCCCAGAGCCTCCTGGATAGTAAGTAGTCACTCCTCATGTTTTGGACCCAGTGTGTTATATTTGTGTCCATCTAATGGCTTCAAATGATGTACAGTTTGATGTCCAGTAGAAATCTAATTATAGTGTTCAAGTTATTCTTTTGTTTTCTCCTTCTCTTCCTAATTAATTTTGTGATGACTCATACTACCTTTAATAAGCTTTTCTTCATGTTGATGTTTTAACTTTTAGAATGTGAAGTTATTTGTCTTTGTTTAGAATCCGTTCTCCTTTATAAATTCTTGGGAAGGGGTATGTGGCTTCAAGGGAGTGATCCTGCTGGGATAGCTCGTGAGATTGGGTCCTCAATCTAGATCTTCCATGAGGAACTTGGAGCCAGGAAGGGGCCAACTTAAACTTGAGTCTCACATTATGTGGGACCACCCCAATAGATTCTTAGAACTCTGCATCCTCTACTCAGTTCTTCATGGGGTAACCATCAGCCTCCTGTCCATCTCCCCCAAACCATTATAAGTCCTCTACCAGATTGTCCTCCTCTGAACTCAGTTATGAAGTTATCAGCCCAGCTGAGGGTTTTCAGTGCTTTTACCCCCACTGCATTAGATAGATGGTAAATGGCAAACATTCTAGCTTGTTAATAGGTACTAACTGAGCCTCCTATGTCCAATCTCATGATAGTACCTTGTGTGGCTCTTATTTCTGCTGCCATATACCTGAATTATATTTTATAAATATAAGAGTTAATGATGCATAAGGGCCTTAAGGACAAGGCCCTCCATCTCCATTGGTGCCTGACACACCCAATAAATTGGGGAAAGGAGCTGGTTCTGGTAGGAGCATTTCCTTGTCTTTACACCATTATATCTGCAGACTGTTCTTTGGAATATGAAAAGAAGGAACAGCACAGCACAACCATTACCTGTTCCATTTGGGTTGGTAAAGCCACAATGAGCAAAATTGCTGTTTATAGACTTTTTTTATAAGTATTATAGTCATTTGAGTGTGTCCTGCCTACCATGCCAATGCAGGTACTAGGCAAGAGGAGTTTCATTTGAAAGTTGGCTGGGACTTGGGTATTTCAGTGGGAAGATGGAAAAACTTTAATCCTTTTAGAATAGTGCTCAAAAGCTCTAACAAGAATAACTTGGATCCATTATGTTAATTTTTCTTCTATAAATATGTGTGCTTCACGATTAATATATCCCAGAGTATAAGAAAAAATTGAGAAGGTATATTAAGATAGCAGCTGGAAGGAAAGTTACTTGCCTTCGTGGAGAGTTCCCACCTTGGCTTCAGAAGGCAGGGTATACTCTCTTGTACCCACTGTGGGGTAGTGACCAAACCACCAGTATGACACAGAAGTGTGCGGGCTGAGACATGCCATTGGAACCTCCTCCCCTTTCTCCCTCTGCTCTCGTTTCTGAGTCTTAATTTGTTGAAGAGCTTCCAGTGAAGCTCTGCCTTCAGCTGTAAGGGTGACAATTCACAGGTCCCCTAGATCCCAGGTGATGTGCTTCCAGAGGTGAAGGCCACCAGATGACCTTTGGTGACCTGCGGGTAAAGGGCTTCCTCCAGGCCACAGCTCTCCACAGATTCTCCTAGGACCCCAAGGCTGCCCCTTTGTTACTAGCTTGTCACTTTGGCCTTGCTGACTGCACAGTGTCTGGTTGGAATCTTCAACCAGGCCTCTCCCTGCCCTCACTGGTTCAGGCTTGCCCAGTGTTAACCCTGCTGCCTGGTCTCCCCCTCTGCCTCTTCACCCCTATCTCTCTCAAGGGCACAAGGAAGAGAAGGCTGCTTCTGAGCTCAGTGATCAGATGAATTGATTCCTTAACTCTTCTGGGTTAAGGCTCTATGCTATATTCCTATTCATAGGAGTGAAGATGTTGTCCTGAGTTAGTCAGCATTTTGTTGCTGTGACCAAAATACCTAATGGGAATAACTTAGAGGAGGAAAAGTTTATTTTGGGTTCTTGGTGTTAAAGGTTCAGTCCAAGGTCAATCAACTCCTTTGTCGTGGGCCTGAGGCAATGAGGCAGGACATCATGGTGGAGGGTCATGGAGGAGGAAAGCTGCTTACTGAGCATTTCCTATGTGCCAGGCCTTATGCTTAACATTTTATCTACCTTACCTTGTTTATTCCTCTCAACATTCCAGGATCAAAATCCCCATTGCATAGGTGAGGAAATGGCATGTTGAGGTAGTGTAATGCCCACAGTTCCTCAGCTGGAACAAGGAGCGCTCTATCCATAGTAGGAACAGTGAAGTTCTGGGATAGGGAACCCGTGTCAGCAGTAAAGTCTCACCTGCATCATTACTGACTCCAGTTTGGTAATAAACTAGCAGAAAACATAGCAAGGTTCTTTGTTTTTTGAGCCATCACATAATTTAAGCAACTCTGTGTAGGACTGAAGGGGACTAATACAGTTTTTAACAGAGCAAATCGTTTTCAGGCATTCTGAGCATCCATAAAGATATCTGATGTGTTAATTTATCAACTTATTTTGAATCATTGAAATAGGTTTCTAAAGACCTCTGTTTTCCAGCCATAGTCAGCTCTTGTGAAATACTTGACAGTAATAGATAGTTTCTTCCTCATTCTACTACTGTTTGAGGAATTTTCAGTATGAGGCTTGCTTTTCTCCTGGTTTGTTCAAATGCATACGATTTTTTCTTTTTTTCTTTTCCCCTCTGTCTTTTGTTCGGGGCTTGAACCCCATAGCGTTTGTCACTCTATCCTGTCCTTTTTATTTATTTACTTTTTATTTTGAAACAGGGCTTTGCTAAGTTACTGAGGCTGGTCTCAAACTTTCTATCCTCCTGAGGCTCCAGAGTCACAGGTATTATAGGCATGTGCCACAGCACCCAGCACACTTTTCTATATTTGTTATTAGTGAGAACCAGCTTGATACAAAGAGAAGTGTGCAATAAATGTTTGCTGGATAGATGGATGGGTCTGCAAATCTCACCCAAATCCAGCTTGATTGGCACTGAGGCAACTTGCACACTGATTCTGATCCCTTTTCCTGGATGGCTAGGGATGATGTACTCAAACTTTTTCTAAACCAAAAATTGAAGAAAGCAATTCCAGATGGCTCAGGTTCCCAGCTTTGTGGCAATTGGGGAAGTGATGCTTTTGAAACCTACTTTTGTGTCTTGGACAGACTACAGTTTAGAATTTTGTTAATTAGAATTGATTATATATCACATGATATGAAAGGAACTAGGAACAGAGGAAGAAAATCAGCCATAGTCCTGATCCTGATATAATGACCAGTCCTAGCCCTAAAAAAATATTCTTATGGTTACCATCACAGTAATGTCTGATTTTTCTTTCATTTCTCTAGCATTGTCAGATGTATCAATTAGTGGGAACTACTCATTTTCATCATTGCTTGATATTTCAGTATTGATTAGCCCTGATGTCTTCTGTGCCTAACCAAGAGAGCTTTACTCTATTTGGCCAGATGGTGGCACTCAAGAGCAAGTCACTGTTTCCTAGATATACAGGATACCAGAGTCCCCTTAATCTGATTTAAGAACACACATAACCTGAAGAACTATATGATGTATTAGAGATTCCCCTGGCACCTGAAAGTATATCAGAAATCCGTGTGCATGTAGGCATTTACTTTCAGAATCACTTATTCCACCAGTGCACACTAGGTACCAGGCATGCAAAGACTAATAAAATAAATTGCTTCTGAGGGGTTCAGGTATAACATGGGAAACAGACTGTGAAGTCAGTATGATAGATAGATGCAATGATGAGACCCAAGAGGAAATGAGCACCCCTTGTTTTGTGGAGGAGGAAAGGTCAAGAAAATGTGACAATATATTATAAATGTAAAAATAATTGTATCATGCATTACAAAAGACTATAACTTGAAACTTAGAGTGGATTGTCTAGATACCCCCTTCCCCTGTAGTTAACCACAGTTACTTTTTGTTTTTTCCTTCCTGAAATCACCAAATTGTTTTGAACAGTGAATGTGAGCTCCGACTGAATGTCCTCTACCTAGGAGAGTGATCGAAACAGAGGACATGCTCAGTAAATATTTGTTGAATGGATCAATAAGTAGTGTGACAGCAGGAAATATTTTCTAGAAATATCACTAGCAGTGATATGCAGAGATGATTGGAGGGAGTCAGGCTGGAGTGGTGATGGTGTGTGTGTCGCAGGGTTATAGGTGAGGGATGGTGAGATGCTAACCAGGAGATAGAGTGAGGAGATTACTGTTGGCTGTGTCAAGAACCCAGAGAAAGCAGGGCCTGGTTATTGATTAGATTTGTGTGGCAAAGGGAGGGAGAAGGGAATTGATTCGTGTGGTTTTCTGGCTTAGTTAATGGGAAGTGGCAGAACAGAGCTGGATTTGGCTTGGGATGTGTCAGTCTTAAGATTCCTGGGAAAATCCAGATGGCAGTGTCTAGAAAGCAGTTGAATATGTGTCTGTTTCCAAAAGAAAGGTCTGTATAGATAACAGATTTACAGGCGAGGTCTTGGGCAATCTCCCCATACCTGTTAGTATTGCAGATGAATGACATCAAAAGCCGAGAGAAACAGCCTGCTTTCAAGTTTCTAGACAACAGGAGCTTGGCTTAGCTGCTCCACCTTCCTTGTTGGAGTCAGACTGGAATCTGGCCTTCCAAGACCTGGGCCACTGCCTCCAGAGCCTGCCTATTAGCACAGTTGGAAAAGTTGGCCTAGGATAATCACTTTATTCTTGCAGTAGCTGTGTTTTTGCTGAATCCTCTTGAAACCCAGCAGCTAGTTCCGCATGTTAGCCAGAGGCTGAATTCTCTGCCTGTCTCCTCTTGGCTTGCAGTGTCTGAACCCAGATCTGGCTCAACTTGAGCTGCTCAGAGCTGAACTTCTCAACCTGTTTTTATTTGTTTGTTTGTTTTTGGTTTTTTCAGACTTAACAACAGTAATTGCTAATCCTTATTGTACCTTTGAGTCCAATCAAGCTTTGAGTCCCAGGTTGCTTCTCTCATCTTCTCTGATCTACCTAGATATAATGAGGAGCCAGCTACTCTGTGACTTGGGCAAATGCCTTCACCACTCTGGTCCTCACTTTTCTTTTTTGAACAGTGAAACAAATGATGTCTGTCTTTCCAACATTAGGAGAGCTGATGGAGATGATACACTTAAAAACATTGTTCCAGAGCTCTTATAGACTGTTTTCTAAATAAGCCTGCCTTAGTTGCAAAATGTTACACATCTGGAAAAAGTATTGTTTTGTCAGCTTTGATATCAGAAAGAAAACAATTGGCTGTAAGCAACTCCATTCTGAGAGGTTTCCTGAGTGCTGGTTTGTGGTTCTGTGGGAAGCAGGAAGAAATGGTGATATGGGGTGGAATGCAGCCAGAGAGTGGGCTGGGCCAGGGTGAGTTCTGATGTCTGGTAAGGTAGGGAGAGGTGTAAGATTCAACAGTCGGCTGTGGCTGAGTCATGACAGAGTGAAGTTAACAGGAGGTCAGGAAGATGGTTTGGAAGTTCTGACCAAGGCTGAGGTGATTCAAAAGACGGTAAGGGCAGCAGGACGGAAGCTGCTATCAAAGTCAGTCTTCAATGGTGAAAGAGGTATAAAGGGCTTTAGGCTGTGTCCTCTTACAAAATATATCTCAGATACCACATCTATTGGTTGGCAGGGGTAAAGGACAGCTACACTTGAATCATTTTGTAGCTGAGGTTATTCAAAAAAGGGGAAACAGTGTCAAACTAAAGGACAAAATCAGAAAATACAACGGAAAAGAAGGGGGTGGGCTGGAAATAGAAAATTTAGAAAAGGGTCAGGTTCAGTTTTAACTAGGTAAATTTAAAGTTAAGTCTAGTTTAACTGGCCTTGCATTTTTAGAAATTAGAATATAGTGCCACTGCCTTGCAGGTCACCTTCAGTGTTCCTCAGCAATCTAGCAGGAATTGAGGTTCTTCTCAGAACCTTGGGGTGGAGGATGGACATCTATGAGCTTCTCCTGCAGACAGAATCAGGTAGGCCAGAGGCTGCAAGGCTGCAAGGCTGCAAGGCTGGCAGCCCCTTGGCCCCAGACCTGGTCCCTGAGCCTGGGAAAATGTGCCTTTTTCTGTAGGAGTGTTGCCTGTAGGCAGGGTGAGAAGCACCACTAAGGACAACCAGCCTGAGCCTGGCTTGTCCTAATTCCCTGCAGTACAACTCTTTTCTCCATGGTGATGGTTTCAGGTCACTGATGTCAGGAGACAGGATCCCTAAAGTCAATTTAATATCATTCTTATACTTGGAAAAGAATTTCTCAATTCATAATTTCATACATCAGACGTGTCCTTAATCAGATCGCATATGCCAGTTTTAGTTTTAGAAAATGTGAAATTTTTTTCATTCAATAAATATTTATTGAGTCTACTCATGGAATTTATAGACCAGTCAGCTCCTGCAAATAAGGACACAGTCCGGGAAAGAGCCTGGTCCCATCCTGTCCCTCTTCAAGGTTTCTCCCAGTGAGAGGTGAACCCTGGAGGCTGCTCTGTAGACTTACTGCATTTGCATGTTTTCAGCCCTGAGAGTCAATTTCCTTTTCTCTTAGAATCCCTGTAATGTTCTATCATGGCTGAAGAGAAGGAGAAAGCATTTAATCCTTCACCCAGGCCAGGGAGAATGAGGAGGGACCTGGGGGAGCCCTGATGTCTGCCCCACTTGGTATTCCCTTGAAATTGGGTTTGAGCAGCTCTTAACCAGTATGGGCAGGAGTTGGGAGGGACATTTTCAGTGCTGGAAGCACTGGTGTTGCTCAGGGGTCCTGAGCCATTCTAGGGTGGGGACATTACTCTTCCAGACAGTCTCTGCCGCTTCCATTTCAGACTCTTGTGTTCTGATGCTGCTTGTCCTGGGGGTGTATACCTGGCCGGTGACACTGGATGGTAGTGACATAGTGGAGCTTGAGCTGCCTTGACCTCCCTCTGGCTCCTGCAGTGTGTAAGCCACTGCCTCCTCAGTGGTGGGGAGACATCCATCTAAAACAGCAACTAAAAATATAATATACCTAACAGTGTGGTTCAGGTTCCAGCTCTGCCATCCCGCTAACCTGCCTGCGGTGACAGTTACCCAATCTCTCAGTGCTTCATTTCTTCATCTGAAAAAAAAAAAAATGGCAGAAGTAGGCTTGTGTGTGAGGATTAGAGAGAAAATGATCACTAGGCACTTAGCACCATGCCTCCCACATAGGGCATCTCACCAGGTGGCATGTAGATTAATTGCCATTGTTATCTGTGATTACGGGGACTTGGAGACTGGGGTTATACCCAGAAGGAAGGGCTAGCTTTATGGAATGTGGAAAATCTCTTCATTGATGGGTAGACAGAGGAAAGATGGATGGATAGATAGGTGAAAGAGCAAATTCAGCTTGTGTTCCCTGGAGAATCTAAACAGGAGAATACCCGTGTTCACTCTTATAATTCTTTAACCTTTAGTTTTTCTAGGTATTTGATAAAATTCATAATAAAATATTGGAATAAAAGAATTCAATCAAACTGTGAGTCTTCAGAACTGACAAATCCATAAAGATAATAGGCATCTAATTTCAGTAGGATTATAAGCAGCCTGGTGGTGCTGGGAGCAGTGGCACTCGCCTGTAATCTCAGCAGCTCTGGAAGCTAACACAGGAGGATCGCAAGTTCAAAGCCAGCCTCAGCAATTTAGTGAGGCCCTAAGCAATTTAGTAAGGCCCTGTCTCTAAATAAAATTTGAAAAGGGATGGGGATGTGGCTCAGTTGTTAAGTGCCCCTGGTACCATAAAACAAAAACAAACAAACAAAAAAAACCCAGCCTGGTGGAAGCCATTTGTTTCCTCAATAAGAGTGAGTGGTGTGTGTGGGTGTGTGTGTGTATACATGTGTCAGTGACAATGTTTCAGTTAGTGAGGCCATAGAAAAAGTGAGATGATTAGGAAAAGGGAGGGTATCAGCAAGTATGTATTTTTATATTTTTGTGCCCACCTCATTCCAAAAATAATTTGTGGTATCATGAAAAATACCTGGAGTTTAACAAGATAAAAATAAATGAAGGATATAAATGGCCAATGACTAATGCACATAGTGCATATCGTAAGGTTCTGGGCAAAAACTTTGAGTACAAAATTAGGCTACGAAGCAGGGTGTGGTTGTATTGTGCCTATAGTTCCAGCTATTGGGAAGCTTAGGCAGGAGTTCAGAGTTAGCCTGTGCAACATAGTGAGGCCCTGTCTCTTGGAGGGAAGAAGAAGAAGAAAGCACCTGCCTGTGATAACAAGAGCAAATATTAGCATATAGAATCCCAGTGTATCATTTTTCATGGTCACTGATTTTCCTAGGTACCCAAGATAGCTGGCCTCTCCTCCTTTCACTGCTGATTTTAATGTTCCATCAGCCCATGTGCTTATGCAGAATAACCTAAAAAAAAATAATCCAAGTAATGGACTTTTGGTAGCTGACATTTGCTGGCCACATGTTGGGCCACGCCCCTCCACTAATGTCCTTAACCATATGATCTTGTGTGTAGCACTGGGTCCCCAGCCCTCTCTCCTACTTTTTCTCCCATCCTCTCCCAGCCTTCCATCCTCAGCCCTCCTCCATCCTTCTCCTGCCTCCCCCCCCCCCCGCCCGCCCCTCACCTTTCCTCCACAGGCAGTGTTTTGCAGAGTTATTCTTTTAAAGCACAAACACAGTCATCTCAGTTGGAGGGCTTTGTTATTTGGACAAGATTCCTGAGTGTCTAAGCCCCACGGACCTGTCTTTGTCTGTGTCTAAATCCCGATGCTCTTTAGAAAGCACAATGCTTGATTAGGATGCCGGGAATTGTGTCTTGCCCTGAGCTTGTAATTTGCTTTTGAGAAAAATGTTACAAATGCTAACTCTTGTTCTTATCTCCTCCCCACCTTCTTTCTTTTACAATTACCTTTTTCATAGTATATATTCTTCCAACTTCCACGCAGTGAAGAGGGAATCAGATGGGGCTCCTGGGGACCTTACTAGCTTGGAGAATGAGAGGCAGATTTATAAAAGTGTCTTGGAAGGTGGCGACATCCCTCTTCAGGGCCTGAGTGGGCTCAAGAGACCCTCCAGCTCAGCTTCCACTAAAGGTAATTAACAGGGTGACGTCCGCAGGTCTGTCTCCCCTTCACACCTGTTCCCTGAGTGTTGGCAGCAGGCGAATCTCCTGTAACTGGAACCAACTCTGCCCCCTACAGATCCATATCCAGGCCTCAGAGCCCTCTTGTATCCCCTCCCCTGTTTTCTCGCCGGCCATTTTTCTTTCTGGTATTAATGGTTTCCCTCCCTCTGAACCCTGACCTTGCTCTCTCTGAAGCATTTCTGTCCTTTTTGTTCTAATACCCTTTTCTTAGAAATTAGCTGAGCTTCAGCCTTTCCTAACTGGCAGGGTGGCCATTTCTTTCGTTGCATCTTTGCACCTGCTTTGCAGCACAGATTATTTTGCTTCCGGACATCGACTGGAAATTTTTTAAAAGCCCATATGACAAACGAGCATGTTACCTCCTTTTTTTTTTTTTTTTTTTTTTTTTCTGTTTTTTTCTTTTGTAGCAGCTTTCAGCTTTAACCTAATGGGTCTGTTTATTTTATTCTGCATGCTTACCAGTGGATCGTAAAGGTGGGAATGCTCACATGATTTCTTCATCTTCAGTTCATAGCCGAACATTTAACACTAGCAGTGCTTTAGGCCCTGGGTGTAAGCACAAGAAGCCCCTGTCAGCTGCGAAAGCCTGCATTTCAGAGATCCTTCCTTCCAAATTCAAACCCAGGCTCTCTGCTCCCAGCGCTCTTTTGCAGGAACAGAAGAGTATCCTGTTGCCCTCAGAGAAGGCGCAGAGCTGTGAGAACCTTTGTGTTTCTTTGAATGATTCCAAAAGAGGCCTCCCCCTCCAGGTAGGGGGAAGCATCGAGAACCTTCTCATGCGCTCCCGGCGGGATTATGACAGCAAGTCCAGCAGCACCATGAGCCTCCAGGAGTACAGCACCAGTGCCAGGAAGCCCTGCCCTCTCTCCAAAAAGGCTGGGCTGCACTTCACCATGTTCTATCGGGACATGCACCAGATCAACCGAGCTGGCCTCTCCCTGGGATCCATCTCTTCCTCGAGTGTACGCGATCTTGCCTCCCACTTTGAAAAAAGCGGCCTGGCATTATCCAGGGGGGAGCTGGGGTCCAGCCAAGAGGGCTCAGAGCACATCCCCAAGCATACTGTCTCCTCCCGCATCACTGCTTTTGAGCAGCTCATTCAGCGGTCTCGGTCCATGCCGTCCCTGGACCTGTCTGGCAGGCTGAGCAAGTCCCCGACGCCTGTGCTGTCCAGGAGTGGACTGATCTCAGCCCGCTCAGCTGAGTCCCTCCTGGAGTCAACCAAGCTCCGTCCCAGGGAGGTGGACGGAATGAACTCCAGTGTGGTCTATGCCTCCCCGACATGTAGCAATATGGCAGACCACACCTTGGGCTTCAGGGGCCTCGTGCCTTCTGAGCCCCTCTCCACCTGCTCAGATGAGATAGACCGCTGTTCAAATGTCTCCAATGACAGCAGAGAGGGCAGTGTTCATGGAGATTTCCCCAAACATCGTCTCAACAAGTGCAAGGGCACTTGCCCCGCCTCGTACACCCGCTTCACCACCATCCGGAAGCATGAGCAGCAGCAGTCCTCCAGGCAGGCTGACTGGCGCCCAGAGTCCAGAGGGGACAGGAGCACCCTGCTCAGAAACATCTACCTGATGAGCCCCCTCCCTTTTCGGTTGAAAAAGCCCCTTCAGCACCATCCTAGACAGCCTTCCCCGGTGGGCCAGAAGCCAGACCTCCCTGGTCAGCCCCATCAGGATCAGCCCTCCTCTGGGGGGAAGCCCTTGGTTCCCACCCGCCTGTCTTCCCGACACGCCATGGCCAGGCTTAGCTGCAGCTCAGAGCCCCCTCAGGAGAGACCCATGATCCTGGAGGACAGCCCGAGGGCCATTAATAACGGGAACTCTGTGCCATACTCAGACCATGGCCTGGACAGGAACAACAACCCACAAAGTGAACTGGCACCATCCCGTGGAGGTGGCATTTTATGTGTTTGACCAGTCTCACCTCCCTGTCTCCACATGGCTTGCTCTGCCCCTTCCTCCCGTGTGTCCCTGGTGCTCATTTCCTTCTCTGTCCTTTGCTTCTGTTTGTTTTGCTTGGCAATTAACCATGGCTTGTAGTGGCTGCACTTCTTTAAAAACAGATCTCCCATGTCATTTAGACTAACCACCAAACCGTGTTTCGAAAGAAAAATTGGCCGATTAGCTCATCTGAGAAATGTGCCCATTTGAACTCTCAAGCCCCTTGCTGTTTGCACCAATCCCAGCCCACCTGTGGTTTTTGGAGAGGCAGCCTCTCTCCGTGGCCCTGTGTGTGTAAGTGTACGGTTTGTCCCCGTAGAGCCTGCACGATGCCTCTTTGTAGGGACAGTCAAAGAATGCCTTCTCCTTTTGTTCACCGTTTGCCTTCTGGTTAGTTTTCTTCATATTAAACTATTTGCAAGTAAACCTAAAAAGCACGAGGGAGAGGTGGGTTTAGGTTTTTTCCTTCAGAATTTGGTTATTGATCGTGAATCAATGAGGACTTTTGTTTATAATAAAAGAAAGGTGAAATATTTTCTTGACCTGGTTTCACACTAAACATTTGCCTGTTTTTTAACACGACTTTGTTGTTTTGAAGATTCTGAATCACCGAGACATTTTATACCAGCTGATTACTTGGAATCTACAGAAGAATTTATTCGAAGGCGTCATGATGATAAAGAGGTAAATCTCATCTTTTTAAATCTCCTAACACTTGTGCAGAGAAAATCATGAAGGAAGTAGCATTCTAGACACCTATCAGAGGTAATGTGGTCCAGTGGATGGAAGCAAAGATTGGGGTTTTTGCAAATGACTTTTTATAGGTTCCATCAGTCCTCTTTAATCTCTTTTCCAAAAAGTGGGATCAGTTTCCCCATGGGCACTCAGTTAAAAGTACCTGGTCCAGCTAGCACTGCTGCACGGGAGGCACAGAGCAGCCTCTGCTCACAGTTTCTCTCAGTGCCTCCTGAGCTGGGAGCTGGAGTTCACTCTTCTGCCCTCCTCCCAATGCCTGCCTTGATATTCTCAGAGGAAGTCCACCCACGTTTCTCGCTCTGCCTATCCCTCTGTTGTCACAAAGCATTGTTCAAATTGGGAAGGATGCAGTAGGAAAAAGAGGAACATGAAAAATAATAATGAAAATCAACTTTGAGGAAGTTGCCTTTAACTCAGGGGAGGAAAAAAAGATGCCCCAAGAAGTTCTAGTAAGCCCCAGCCAAGAACTTCAGTGTGTGGATATTTACTTGGAGTGACTGAAATCTCTGTGCAGTAGTAGGAAAGAGCCCATTCTTCCTGGGATGTAGGGGGATGTAGGGGGAGGTAGTCCTGTGTATCAGCCCAATGGGCAAAATCCTAAGCCTCTGCCATGATAAAGCATTATGTTGCACACTTTGTGGGCTTTACATTCTCAGGAAAAGGGGTCAATACCTACTTTCTCTAATGAGTTAAAAGATGCAAGATGTGTTTGAAATAGTGGCGGGCGGGGGGCGGGGGTGTTTGTGTGTTAACAACTCTATCCCTTCCCCTTTTTCTGTTGCTGTCTTGAGCAGCTCTAGTGTTTAGGTGGAGTTCCTTAAGGATTTAGGGTAAGTTTGCCTTTGAGGAGAAAAGTATGATCATAATCATTGCTACCAGACGGTGAGACTAAAGACAAAAAGAAACTACCATTCCTCTCCCCATCCTCTAGGCATTCAGTACCAGCCCCTGGGAGGAGACAAGGGGAAATATTTGATGTAAAGAATTGTTTATAATAAGGAAGTGCAAAACTCACTAATGATGAGTGTTCATCAGGATGCACAACAGATTGATTTCTAAGGCTCTTTGTTAAGTATTTCCTGCCCCTGAGATACAAGATAAGCGTAGGTCTGGACTGCTGTGATGAGGAAAGATGACATTCCATTCTAGTAGTGGGACTCTAGTATACAATGCGTAAGGTTTTATGGTAGAATTTGTTCCTGCTACACAGGGGGGCATATTTTACTTACTTGATTTAACAGTTATTACACTATAAGTTGCTTACAGAATGTGAGCAGCTTGCTTCCTGAATGATGCTGACCCACAGACCCTGGAATGGTTTGTGTCTTTACCCTTGTTTTTGGGGCTTCTGTGGTTAAACCACAGGCCTGATAGATCTACTGAGGTCACATTTAAGCTCTGGGTTGAGTGAGAGCTTCACTCCATCTGATGTTCGCTTCCTCTGATATTATTTAACCTTGTCCACAGTACCAGAGGTACAGTACTAGAGGTTTTGACAAGGGTGTGTGGCAGCCTCAAGCACGAATCTATGCCCACTGCAGGAACAACTGACACCTCCCAGCTGTGGGGGTGTCAGTCTGCACCACTTCATGCAAATGCTTTATTATTAACATTGATGATAATGCCAGTGCAGAAAATGTCCATCCCGGAATCGTCAGTATGGTCACGTAGCCAACTCCCTTGTTTTGTTCAGGAGAGGACCACAGCAAGGTGTGGCTTACCCAGGGCCACCTGGCAAGTTAACTTATACCAGAGACAGAACTAGGAATCAAGGCTCCAGTTTCCTGGGCCAGTGCTCTTTTCATGGTACTGTGCTTTGCAAAGCACTTTCTTTTCTCATTTAATCTTTATAGCCATTTACTGAATACTGGAAATGCCACAGCTGTTTGATGAGTTGTTATTTGTAGACCTGGTAGAAAAGTCAGGCCCACCATCCTTTGGAGCTAGATGTCATATGAGGTATTTAATTGCCTGCTGGAAGAAAACTAATGTTTTATTGAGCATGCTGAGAATTATCCATCCTAATTAATGCTTTCCTATAAGGGACATTAATCCTAGAAATGTAAGATTGTTGTGCTTTAGGAGACACAATTAAAAGTCTTTTCTGTTGGGCCATTTCAATAGACAATGAGGGCATTTGGTAAAAAGCAACATTGCTTGATTATTTTTAAAAGGTCTTTAAAAATAGAAATAAACTGGGTCCTGGAGTGCACCCATGTAATCCCAGCAACTAGGGAGGCTGAGATAGGAAGATTTCCAATTTGAGGCCAGCTTGGGCAACTTTGTGATTGATACCCTTTCTTCTTCTTCTTTTTTTTTTTTTTTTTTTGGTACTGGGGATTGAACTCAGGGGTACTCGACCCCACAGAGCTACATCCGCAGCCCTATTTTGTATTTTATTTAGAGACAGGGTCTCACTGAGTTATTTAGCACCTCTCTGTTGCTGAGGCTGGCTTTGAACTCTCAATTCTCCTGCCTCAGCCTCCCAAGCTGCTGGGATTACAGGCATGTGTGACTACACCTGGCTATGATACTGTTTCTTAAATAAAAAAATAAAAAAATAAAAAAAAAAGAGCTAGGGATGTATCTCAGTGGTGGAACATTTCTGGGTTCAATCTCCAGGACTGAAAAACAAACAAAAAATAGAAAGAGATGACTATTTTCCTAGTATAGAAAAAAATTGTTTCTTTTAACCCCAGGTACCATTATTCTTAGCTTATTTTTGATATTCACAGTCTACATCATTCCCTTAAACTCAGCTTTATTTTAATCTAATGAAGAAATAGTTCTATAAGCATGTAACTGGGGGGGCTGGGGCTGTATCTCAGTGGCAGAGCTCTTGCCTAGCATGTGTGAGGCACTGGGTTCAAGTCTCAGAATCACATAAAAATAAAGGCAAGCTGTCCATCTACAACTACAAAAAAGAAAAAGTTAGACTTTTCTTAAAAGAAAAACTGGGGCTTTCAATCACATAGTCTTTGATACATATTCTAAGGACTCCTAAAAATTGTGCCCTGGGAGGAGTGGGCTGGCTTAGAAGGGGTGCCATAGTTTATGAACTGGGCAGTGCCACTCTGTGGAGAACATATAGGAGTAACCGAAAGAGGAAGCAGCAGAATAACCTGGTTACAAGGTAGTGAAATCCTATGGCAGATTTAATAGGCCTAATGTGCACAGGAGTCATCAGCCAGCCCTGGTTCTGCCTTGGGAACTACTGTGGGATGTGCCCAAGTGAAGTGGTAAAAAAGCAACATTGTTTGATTGTTTTAAAAGGTCTTTAAAAATAGAAATAAACTGGGTCCTGGAGTGCACCCATGAACATCTAACTCCAAAGGATGGTGGGCCTGACTTTTCCTGATTGATGGCTGCCCAGCATCCTTGCAGTGCCCTGGATGTGCCCCCTGGGTCACCTGGCCTTTGCTGCCAGAAGGCAGGAGACTTGGCTGAGAGTGTGATCTTATGGAATTGATCCTCCCTGGATCCCAGCTCTCCCCAGGTTTCTCCTAGGCAGTGTGCTCTCCTTCCTGCTGAATGTGAAGGGTGGTTACTATGGGAACATAGTAGTTATAGCCATCTGACCCTTAAAGTCTCCTCATGGTTCATGCAACACCTTCTTCTTTAGTTGCTTTCGTTGGCAGTTTTCTAATGCCCTGGACCAGATGATTCACTGCCTATTTTATGCAATTTCATGGCAGAAACTTTTAGCGGACCAGAGACGACTTAAGCGCGAGCAAGAAGAGGCCGATATTGCAGCTCGACGCCACACGGGCGTCATCCCGACGCACCATCAGTTTATCACTAATGAGCGCTTTGGGGACCTCCTCAATATAGACGATACTGCAAAAAGGAAATCTGGGTCAGAGGTCTGTTTTGGTTGCCTCAAACTGCTGCTTGACCCAAAGCAATATTTGCCTCCCTTCAGCATTGCCCTATGTAGGTCAATTTAGTTCTCCAAACAGCATCTGTCATCCTGGCTTCCCTTAGCCTTGCTTTGGCTCTTGTGGCTGGTGAATGGACATGAGCCCCATTACATTCTGTGCTCTGTATGCTCAAGCATGCCTGGCTGTGGGACCGGGATCCGCTGACGCACACCCCTAATGCATGCTTAGAGCCTCGGCTGCCTTCATAAGTCCAGTCCTCTCCATGCTGCATTGTATCATGATTCTGTGTTGCCTGTGTATATTGCTTAGAGACCGTGTACCTGAGGCCATGTGCATTGGTAGCTACGGTGTGAACAATTGCAAGAGTCTTCCTTAAAGAGATGGTTAATGCAACTTATATCACAAAAGTTAGCAATACTGTGCCATTTACAAAAGCCCCCCGCCCCATTTAGTAACATTACTATGAAAATCTCAGAGAACAATACTGCAGCTTGTGTGCAGATGTATTAATTGTATGGCTTGTTCAGTGGTGCTGAGGCACCTCACTGAAGACTTTTAAAATGTGAAGATTTTTGCAGTTAAGATAAACCCATGGAGAGTCAGAGAGCTCTCTGAGAGACATTTCATTTGTTCTCTTAATTTTGACATTTCTAAGATTACAAAAACTTAATATTATCATAGGAACAAAGAACAAAACTTTGAAGTGACTTTATCTGGGTCTTGGCCTCCTGCACCAAGGTCAATATGTTGGAATTCTTGTGCTGGCCAAATGCTGCCTCTTGCATAAGAGATTATGCTGTGCCACTTAACCCTTAAGTAGCCCTGCTGAAGATAGTCTTGTTTGGGGGAAGCATTTGTGTCTGGGATTTGGGGTGGAGAGGTGGGGAATGGGATCCGCAATATGTAGTTTTATAATCTATCAGTATAGTAGATTAATATTAATGCTTTTATCTTTTCTGTCTTTTGAGTGACAGATGTTTGTCTTTTTTTTTTTTTTTAAGAAATTGAAGGCATCTGGTAATCAGATTTAAATAAGGAAAGCTGGGGAGGGGAAGGAGACTTTAAAGTGTGGAGAAAAAGAAAATGTTACTCAATTGCCTGGGAAGGGAAGTCCCTTAGCCCTGAGTCTTCTGGATCCCCCTTGGAATAGCCCTGTTCTGAAGGCTCTGGTGATGGGTTGACCCTCATGTGCAGGCCTTCCTGCCTGTGGATGAGGATGCAAATGGGAACATGCAAAGATACCCCTGTGACAAATGTAAATGAAGTACAGCTCGGGTAGATGACCACGGACAGAGGCAGGCATTCTCCCTCAGGGGCCCCACCTCCCTACCAGAGCAATAGTTCTCAAATTTGTGCATCAGAAACCCCTGGAAACTTGATAAAATACAGGATTCCTGGGCCTCATCTGCAGAGTTTCTGATTCTCGGATGGGGTCCGAGAATTTGCAAGTTCTTAGGAAATATTGATGACGTCCATTTAGGAGCCACATTTTGAGAATCACCTCCTTGGAAGGTGACTGATAGACACGAGAAAGTAGAACCCAACGAGTCCCAGGCGTGGCGTGTTGTGTGGATGCACTTTGTTCTTACTCAGTAGATCTTGGGTGGGAGTAATTCTGTGTAAGAACCCTGGGGAGGCACGAACAGGACTTAGTCTGTGCTCCTGGGGAGCTCGGAGCGAAAGAGCCTCCCTCATACACAGTTATCTTTCCTGTAGTAAGTTACACAATGCTGTGAGAACCAGAGAGATTAAGATGGGTGTGGTCTCTGGAGCTATAGGAGAGTAAAGAGGAAGCCGCTGCTTTGTGTAGCCACCGGTGACTCCCATACACTTCTTAGGAATTCAATGGCATCAGCATTTCTCAACCTTAAATAACATATGAATTCCCTTTAATGAAAAAAAAATGTCACCAGCCCTCATTAACCTAATCCAATTTACAAATTAAATTATAGACCACACACCTGTACAACTTTATTAATTTAATTGTTCCATGATATCATTTTGACAAAATTTATTTACCATTCAAACATGATTACATGCTGCTTTGGTATAATTTTTTTTAATGTTCTCACAACTCTACAACTGGGTGACACGGGGACCTCCCCTTCCCCCACCTTTTCTTCTGGAATCACTGAAATTTTTATCCTTACAGATTTGGTCATTGGGTCTTCTTGTGACCTTGTCATTTATCATTAATCCCATATCCATTCTTATTCATGCACAGCTGTTAAATTATACTCTTTGGTTACCTATAGGCACAAATATAGGCATTAAAATTGTGTAGCATTAACTTGATTATAAGGTGGCCTATAATAATGAATGTGTATAGATGGATAGAACATCCACATTCCTGTGGAGAATTTACCACCCTTAAGAAGATCTCTGCAAGGCCCTGCCTCAAGGTACATAAAATTATGGGCATATCAGTAAAGGATTAAAATCCTAAACTAAAGCCAGATGTGTTGGCTCATGCCTGTAACTACAGAGGCTGAGGCAGGGGAATTGAGAGTTCAAAGCCAGCCTCAGCAAAAGCAAGGCTCTAAGCAACTCAGTGAGACCTGTCTCTAAATAAAATACAAAATAAGGCTGGGATGTGGCTCTGAGTTCAATCTTTGGTACCACTGGCCCCCCACCAAAAAAAAAAAAAAACCCAAAAACAAAAAACTAAGCTTGATGAAGCTTTTAAATGCCATTTTCTTGACAAGGCATGATGGCACACATCTATAATCCCAGCTAATTGAGGGGCAGAAGCAGGAGGTTTCAAATTCCAGACAAGCATAGGCAACTTTGCCAGACCCCGTCTCAAAATAAAAAATATAAAAAGAGCCAAGAATATAATGGAGTGTTAGAGCACCCCTGTGTTCAATCCCTAGTGCTGCATAAATGCATACATACATACATACTATTTCTTTTCCCACCTACTGTTCCGTATTTCTTTTTTTCCTTCTGCTCTTTTCACACCTTCTAATATTGAAGAGGACATGCACTTTCACTTTCATCACATTGCTCCCCTAGATCAGTAGGTGATGCCAATTGGCGAGTTTAGAGAGGTTAGAGCTACTCATGGCTGGGACACAGAATTGCACTGGAAGCCAGAAATAGGTTGTTTACATACATGATTTCTATTCCCCATCATCTTTTTTTTTTTTAAAAAAAAGAAATAACTACTTTTAAAGATGAGGAAGAAAGATATACAAATAAGAATGATAATAAAGATGAAATTCTTGCTAGAATTGGAGCTGAAGAAATTACAGGCAGATACTGGGGGCTTAGTAGAGATGTTGCAGGTAGATTTGCCAGAATGAAACAGGAAGCGTGTAATAGAGATAAGAGCAGTTAGGTAAGAGTGGGGAGGAGTGACCCAAAGGCCTCAACCCATGTCAAGAATTGAGATGTGATCTGAGGGACAGTTTGAGAGCCAAAGCCAACATCAAAGCAAGAAAGTCATGGGGAAGAATTTGAGGAATGCTATTTGTGCTCCTGGGTGACAGTAGATTAGAGGGAAGGGAAGGTGAAGTCAAAGGAAGCTTTGTGCCAGTGGGAAGCAGAGGTCAGATCTGAGCAAGGGGGTTGTGGACCAAGGGCAGGCAGGCGTGACTTACTGACAAACTTGATGAGAAAGTGGAGAAGGGGCTGGGGCTCACTTCCAGGCATGGTCCTCTGGGAGGAGAGCGCTACCCCAGCAGAAGCGGAAGTCTGCAGAGGGAGGATGAGCTCAGGGCTTGCTCTGGCTGGTTTTGGGATGATCTCACAGACCATGAGAAATATAGAGAGTTGAAGATGCCATAAGAAGTGAATCAGAGCTTCATCCCCTTGCAGATCATAATTTAAGTTAGGCAAATAGAAATATCCCCTGGAGTAAAAATGCAAAAAAGGAATGTCTTGGGATTTCTCGCTGACAATATTTTCCCTCCATAGCCACAATCAGCATGTTTTGGGGTCCAGTACTTAAGCTTTGGAGGCTTTTCAAACCATCTCTTCCCTAAATCTGACCCTCATGCAGGATACAGTGGACTCAGTGTTCATCTAGTGTTCTGCCAAGGTCAGACACAGGAATTTGGCTCACATTTCTATACCAGAATGAACTGGTTAGGCAAAAATTTTCTGCTTTGCTTTCTAGAAACATATGAAAATGCATCCTTTTTATTGCACCTGAATAATTATTTTAACTTTCTATTGTTTCTTATGTTTAGATGAGACCTGCCAGAGCCAAATTTGACTTTAAAGCGCAGACACTAAAGTAAGTGCCACTGATTCTATTTATTTGTCTTCTTAGCTGCCTCTTGGAAACATAGAAGTTCACTTATAGAATAGAGTTGGAGAAATGATTAACAATTATTTTTTAAAAATAGTAATTTACATGCCAGGCTCTGCGTAAAATACACTGCATATGTTAACTCATTCACCCATATGAATGGGGACTAAACCCTGTGGATGGGTACTATTATCCCCACTGAATAAATGAGGAAGCCGAAGTCCTGTAAGGTGAAGGTAAGTGATAGAGTCAGGATTACAACCCAGGTGACCTGGCACCAGAGCTGGGCTCTGCACTGTGCTACCTGGCCTCTTCTTCTATAGGAGCTCTCTTTGTTTGATGAAGTGGTAGCTTGAGCTGACCCCAGCCCTACTATGGAAGGAACCAGAACCAGCCTCTAGGAGTCAAACTTTAGTAGTTTTACAATAACATCCCCCCAAAATAAAGGCCTATGGGGACCCATAGGAGACACATCTGAGTGTGCTCCTCAGAGTACTGGCCCCGTAAGATGTTTCTCAAAAGAAGGACCTGTTATAGAAATGAGTGAAGGCCCCACTGTGTGCTGGATTTAGACCTCTCCCCACCTGAGAAGATGCTTTTCTATTAGCATATTAATAACTAGAAATCTTTCAAGGAAGAAACTTAATTAAACTTACTTAGTCTAGTGCTTTCTAAATTTAGGAGAACAGGAAACTTTTCTGTTTTCCATGGAAAACCATTTGGGAAATGCTACCAAAGACTGGGTTCCAAAAGGAAACTTTCAACTTTATATTTGATTATAGATTGAAACAGGCCATGACTTTTCATTGGCAGCCAAAAATATCATTTCCAGCAGCAACCCCTGCCCTGCCGATGAGAGGCCTCTCCCTGGTGATGAGAGGGAGAGGTCTCTTCTGTGGACGATAGTAAGCACTGTGTGGAGGCTGCTCAGCGTGGTTCTGATCTCCTCCAACGCAAAACCAATGACCAGGCCACAGTCTCTAGTGCCTAAGCACGAGCCTGGTGTATTTTTCAGTTCTTAAGCCCATCCGCTGAAAGGCTGCTGTGTAATGTATTACAAAGATAATGGGTTTTGGGGTCAGGAAGTCCTGAGTTCAAATCCTGACTATGCCATTTACATCTCTGTGACTCTACATTTATCCATCCCTGCCACCCTTAGTTTCCTCCTCTGTAAGATGAGGATAAAAAGATGTCACAATGATACTTGTAAAACATTTTGCACAGTATAGCAGAAGTTAATACTCACACTGTACCCAACACACACACACACACACACACACACACAATATGAATACACTTTCCATTATGATTTTATATAAAAGTGGAATTCATTATGAAATATTCATAAATGCATATAGCATAATTTAAAACATTTTTTTCTTTAAGCAACCTATGAAATAGAAGAGGTGAGAAGGCTGCGATCCATGGAAATTGCCACCATTTAAAACATTGCCAATGCTGGAAAGCTGGCTCCCTTTTCCTGACTCAGTGTTTTAATCACATGCAACCTCCAAAAAATGTCGATAGGACTTAGGAAAAAAAAAAAAGGATGAGCTAAGTCCATGGAAAGTCTTATTTTTTAAGCTCTCCAATCCCTTGGTTTTATCTTTCCCTATAATGTCTTATTCAAAAAAAGTGTGCTGAGGGAACACTGGATCAACAAAATTAACCAGATTTCTTTCACCACTGGATTTCTCAGCACCTGTGCTGTGCTTATGTACTCAATGACATTCCAGACTGGTATCATGTTACTGTTTCCCAAACCTTCTTACCACCAGACCTGGCCACCTGGTTCTTTGAGAACTGGAGGAGTGATCCGTAGTTCAGGAAGAATGGCAGCCCCCGGATGCTGTGGTGTATCTTCTCTGGCCACAGCTACAGATCTCACCTTGGCCACATCTCATACGAGCTGACCTCCTCCTTTGCTTAACAGTGGGGCCATTTCAGCCCTTACACTGCCTTCATAGCTGCAAGATACTCAGGGTAGCAGATTTCAGAGCTTGCACACCTCCAGCAGGGCGGATATGCTGAGGATCTTGTCGCATCTTGGTGCCCGCACTTGGGATTAAAAGGAGTGGGAATTCAAGATACCCTAAGGAGGGCTGGGGCAAAAATGTAGCCAGAGGCCTTCCTCCTCACAGAAGTAAATGCCCCAGACTCCCTTCACATGCCTCTTCAGGGTCAGGATCCTCTCTCCCCACTGCAAGACCCACAGAGGCTGCCTTGTGCTTTTATTCAGCACAGAGCTGACTTTGTGTAAAGTTTTCCCGATGTGCCTGTTGTTTAGCTCTCACTTACTGTGGGACTTCTGGGCACACTGCAAAACAGTCACACCCCTTCCATGTTACAGAGACCTTTCTTCCTGTTGGTTTGATGCACATGAAAAAAGATCTAGATTTTTTATTAATTCAAAGAATATCACATTACAATTTTTGTTATCCTCTTAAGTTTTCATTTTGTTCAGAATTTTACTTTTTGTCTCATTGTATTTAAAAAGAAGCCCTGGTTGGATGTGACTATCATTATCATAGAGTCAAGCAAAGGGATGGATATGGAAAAGTGGAAAATTGCATCAAGAGTGCTTGCAGTAAATCCACTTTTCTTTCCAAGATCTCTTTTCTCATGTTGAAAAGACAGGGAATGAACATTTAATGGATGTTAGCTTTAGAGCAGGTGCTGTGCATGGTGTTTCATTTGCAGTTTGTGTCTGCATTCTTCAACTCTGAGTGAGCCGTTATCATCAGATAAAGGAACAGTGACTCAGGAAGATTAAGTAGATCTTCTAGAGTCCCAAAGCTAGTAAATCATAGACAGGGATTTAAACCCAGATCTACCTAACTTCAGAGCGTTTCTACGGTATGATAGAGAGATGGATGGTGAAACAAGTGGGTGGGTAGACGACTAAATGGATGAAATGATAGAAGGGTGTCAGTATGTGATAATGAATTGAGGATGACTTAAAGCCACCCGTGCATGCCTTGCTAGGATGGAGAGGGCAGTGGAGGTGGCAGAGAGAGTCAGGAAGAGACACTTTTGGAATAATGGAATAAACATCAGTTAAGACTTCCGGCTGCATTGCAATGTGGTGCTGTCAGTATTCTAAACTTTTAGACAGCGCTCACAAAGAAATGCATGAAGAAAACCACAGCAAACTAATAAGGCCCTCCCCCTGAGCACTTTCAAGTGCGAGTCAGTTTGAATGTTAACACGCATCCCCCACAAGACTGGAAAAACGCCCAGTGTGACATAATTTCCTGAATAGGGCATTTCTCACTTCCAAATATGGAGCCCCCTCTTCTGTAATGTGTCCCCTTTGGCTCTTCTTGAAGTCTCTTTTTGCTAACAAACTGAAGTGTCTTAATCTCGCACGTTTGAAACTCTGCTAAAATGACCTAACCTCTGTTGGCAGGGAGCTTCCTCTGCAGAAGGGAGACATTGTTTACATTTATAAGCAGATTGACCAGAACTGGTACGAAGGTGAACACCACGGCCGGGTGGGAATCTTCCCACGCACCTACATTGAGGTACAACAGCCCCTCTCTCGTCTTCCTAAGGAAAAGCCCAGTCGTGCGAATCACCATTTGCTTACAGTGTCCCTGTGTTTTGTCCCCTCCTCCTACTCTTGCTTCCCTTCTTCCTTCTCTTCCCCCCCCCCCCCTTTCTCTTTTGCCTCTTTTCCTTTCTCAGCTTCTTCCTCCTGCTGAGAAGGCTCAGCCCAAAAAGTTGACGCCTGTGCAGGTTCTGGAATATGGAGAAGCTATTGCCAAGTTTAACTTCAATGGTGATACACAAGTAGAAATGTCCTTCAGAAAGGTAAGCCATCCATCCCGGCCCACATGTTGAGACTGTCTTACATGGTTCCACCTAAGACAGGAATGTGACATTGGAATGTGACATTGTGACATTGCTGTGGTGTGCCAGTCGTACCCTTAAGAGATGCATGCTGATCAAAAATGGCACTAAGGACAGAGAATTTTCTGAGATGAGGTATTTTTAAAATATACTCTAGTCGGGATTTAACTACATTGAGTTCATTAACAGTATTTCTAGAACTTTAGACTTTTTTTTTAATAAACTGTTTAACATCTAGTTGGCGCCTAATGCTGTGTTGAACACTATGTTGGTGATGAGATTTAGGATAAGTAAACAGGCCTAGTGGGGAAAAGAAGTCCACTGGTACCAGAAGGGTTTGAAAAGCTTTGAAGCCAAAATTCACAGGTTATCAGCTGTGCAGTTTGTTGCCTCATGGAACAAAGAAAAAGAAGAAGATAAACGGCCCTCTCTGGGAGTGGTTGTAAGAGGCTTAAATGAAACAACATTTGTGAAACCACCAGTGAGACATGTAGCATCTGGTCAGGGCTCAGTAAATAGGAGATGCTGTTAGTTGCCTTCAAGGAGCTCAACATGCTTATTATGAACATAATTATTCTGTGCAAAGAACTCTCTTTCCCAGAAATTGAAATACTCCTACATTTCAGAATTCTCTGATTGCTAAAGTTATTAAAGTTACAAATTTTCTTGGGGATATAGGGAACTGAGTAGATGGCTCATAAACAGATGAACTGTCTTATACAGTTAAAAACTTATACAGGAAAAACTCTGGAAGCAACTTATTTGCCCATAATAGGGGGTCAGTAATTAAATTGTTTTATGTATACAAAAGAAGACCCTGAATTGGTCCATTAGGGTGTGCAACACTATTAAAAATATAGAATTATGTTTCTTTAGAAACAAGGAAGTTCACTGTGTATAGTTAAGTATAAAAAACGCAAATAGAAAAAGGGAAATACAGCGAAAATTCGATTTTCATGGAAAAAAAATATGGACAAGTCTACTTCACATGCATAGAGTTAAATCTGGAAAATCATATAAAACAAAATATTAACAATAGTTACTCCCCAACTTCTGGTATAATGGGTGATGATTGTTTTCTTCTTGGTATTTATTTGTGTGATAATTTTTCTGCAATAATACATGGAAAATAAATTTATAAAAAGGGAGAGAAAAATCGAGTCCATGTTCATTTTGCTTCAAATGAGTCAAAAACACCATGTTTGCCTTCCAGCTTGGGGGCATGAATCTGATCTCCTTTTACTTCGGTAAAGACTTGAGGATCTAGTTTAACTTCCTAGCATTCAAGTAGCTCCACTGCTGGGGCATCCCTAGCCAGTGATGTTAACTCCATCAGATCCAGCAGGGGCCATTTCTCCTGAGCAAACGATGTGCTAAATGAAGCAGGACAGTACAGGCAGGGGCCTCAGATGTGGTGAGGCGTGACTAGGACCCTCATCTTTCTGTGTCTTGTAGGGTGAGAGGATCACACTGCTTCGACAAGTGGATGAGAACTGGTATGAAGGGAGGATTCCAGGGACATCCCGACAAGGCATCTTTCCCATTACCTACGTGGATGTGATCAAACGGCCGCTGGTGAAAAACCCTGTGGATTACATCGACCTGCCTTACTCCTCCTCCCCAAGTCGCAGTGCCACTGCGAGCCCACAGGTATCTACTCTTCTCGTCACTGGGTTTCCTTCTCAACACATGTTTCTATGCTCTACAGTGCCAATGGCACATGGCCCCTGCAGGAGGGCTCTCAGGCACTGTGATTATGAACTGTCTGCAACAATGCAGACTGTAGAATGGAGTTTGGTTTTGTGCATATAAGTGGCATTTCCCCAGCACGTGGTAGGAGAAATATAATCTCAGGGGAAAAGGAATGTCTAAAGATAATTCTATGGGGATAAGGTGAGTAGGGAAAATGAGAGACTTTATCAGTTGGTCTATCCTGGTTGAAGCTGGTGGTATGGAAACCATAACTGGTAGATCATTAATCCCGTGGCCTGGGGTGGTTCTCTCAGTTATCCTGTCAGTCAAGATTGGCTTGCAGAAGACAAAGTTTGAGAGAGGCAAAGTTTGTCTCATCCCCAGACATGTAAACCAGATCTGCAGTAATGCAAGAATTCACTGGCACCAGGTTGGAAAAGGAACTTACAGGTTGTTGGTCTACACCGGCCTGGGAGGAAGTAAGATGGGCATAGTAAGATGTTGGCTGTTCTGAACACTAATTATGAACATACTTGTTTAACAATATGAGGTATTCCAAACCCATGTCCTCTTTCCAAAGCAAGAAAAAAAAAAATCATAACTTTGAGTTCAAGAGAGGCATGTGGAGTGACATCCTGTGGAACAAACTGACCATACCTGTGTAAGTTATAGGGACGATGGCCGGAGGACTGGGGGACCCGGCTGATGCTACAATGGTGCCTCTTTTTCCTCTAGTCCTCCAAACATTTCCTCCTCTGTCACTTACTTGTCACTGGCCCCAGCTGAGGGCTTATGGTACAAGGCATCAGATGGGCTGCCTGCACATTGAGATGCGCATCCTGCCATCTCCTATGGGACAGTGTGAGACTGAAGCAGAGTGTTCTGCTCTGTGAGAATGTGGAGAACTCAGTCAGGTTTTTTACTTGACTGTAGTCAAAAGTGACCATAAAACAAAATGACCCCACTACCCATGCTCCTTTCAGAAAGAGTCTGCTGAGCCCCCTAAGGAGAAGAAAAACCCAAGGAAGAGCCAGGACAGGGGTGGGCCACCTTTTCCCACAGTTCTGGGTCAGAGCTCTGGTTGCAGATGACGGGGCGGCTGGGATGGGGTAGCTTCCAGTGTGTGTGTTTTAATCCAGTTCTGCAGAGCAGGCTGGTGCCACCCGAAACTGTCTGATGGGAACCTCTCCCGTCTCTGCCACTTGCCTCTCCCTTCCACCCCACCTACACACAGCTCTGCACACTCACATCCTGCACCCCAGTTTCTCTCAAATCTCACCAGGTGATTTCCTTTTGGGGCACCAGAGTGTCCTGCCCATCCTCTCCATTTCATTCCTCTTTATGTACCTAGTGATTATTTTCCTCCATTCTCTTTATGCTGACATTTGTACCTTTTGCTTCTTTCTTTTGTTTTCTTCTCTCTCCTTTTCTTTTCAAGTATCCCAGTCACAGCAAGCTCATCATGCCAGCCCCCTCATCTCTGCCCCACACCCGCCGGGCCCTATCCCCTGAGATGCACGCCATCACCTCTGAGTGGATCTCGCTGACTGTAGGGGTCCCGAGCAGGCGGTCTCTGGCCCTGACCCCACCCTTGCCTCCTCTGCCAGAGGCTTCTATCTATGACACAGACCACCTCGCCTTGTCGGTGAGGGCCCGTCCCTCCCTGCCTCTCAGCCTCCCTCAGTCAAGTTGGCTGGATCGCTCCACTCCACACTCAGTGGGCCCCCCTCTGGCCCTGCCTCCTCCCAACAAAGCCTACTCGCTGGTCGCCAGTGCCCAGGCCCCCCTTCACATCAATGGAGATGGTGGTATCTACATGTCACCATCAGGCATCCGCCAAGATAGCTTCTCCCAGCCACTGCTTGGGGGCTCTGATAGGGTCATCTCGGAGCTTAGCGGTGCCTTTAGCAGCCAGAGCAAGAGGCAGCCCTGGAGAGAAGAGAACGGACAATATGAAAGGAGAGCAGAGAGCCAGGCAGGTGAGAGATGCCCTGGTGGACCCAAGATCTCTAAGAAGAGCTGCTTGAAACCTTCAGATGTGGTCAGGTGCCTGAGTACTGAACAGAGACTCTCAGATCTCAACACCCCTGAGGAGAGCCGGCCCAGCAAGCCTCTGGGTAGCACTTTTCCAGGAAGGGAGGCTGGGCAGACAGAGCTGCGTAGAGGTGGCGAGGCTGAGAGGAAAGCTGCTCAGAGTGGTCTGAGCCAGGTAGGCCTGCAGCATGATGGGGGTGCCCTTGGCATCTTGCTTGGCAGGGTGGGCTGCACATCTCACCCTTGGCCCATCGACTAAGGCCAAGTAGATGTCTGTGAGACCCATTTGCTTGCCTTAGGAGCAAAGAGATGGCCAAGGGAATACAGGCGACACCAGTCATGGTGTCAGGGCTGGGAACCGTTGGAGGGAAAGGTCAGGTGGTACTCTGGCCTCTTGAGGTGATTCAGAAGTACCCTCGCATAGGGCACCCATTGGCCTGGTATGAAAGCCTGTAAGAAGGAGGGCCTTCCTCAGGTCTCATTCGTTCTTTGGAGCTTGTCCTTGGTTTGCTCTGACTAACAGCTCAGAACACCAGGCTTCGGTGTGTTATGTTGCGGTTTGGTTTTTGTGAGCTGCACTTTGTTTCCATAACCCGTGGTGCGCTGCTAGTGCTCGGTTTTGTCGGGTCTCCGTCCTGTCTTGTGTTTGTGTGAGAGCACACGGCCTTGTTCACAAGAACAAAGGCATTTTGGTTCTGGGGAGGAGCATGCAGGGCCCCCTTGCTGGGCTTGGGGTCACTGAGGGGACATACAAGGTTCTTTAGTAACTTTCTCATTATCTCTCTGAGTCAACTACAAGGATTTCAGAGTTTAGACACCAAAGTGGCCTTAGGATGTTTTGAGGGCTGACAATTTCTTGATGGGAAATGAACTTGGCAACCAGACTGATTACAATTCTAATTTTGGCTATGTCATTTCCTACCCAGGAAGTCAAAGACCTTGGGCAACTTCTCCAAAGTAGCCATGTTTGAGTACCAGCTCCCTGTTACCATGTAATGATAGGAATCACTTACCCTCTCGGAGACTCAGTTTCCTCCTTTGTAAAAGGAAGGTAACACCTACCTCATAGAGTGGTTGAGAAGATTCCTTGATATAATGCATGTGAGTGCTAAGCACAAAGCCTGGGAACATGGCTGTCACTTTGTCAAGGGAAGCTGTAGAGTTACCATCTTGGAGGATCTATACCTGCTTCTAGAACTGAGAACATTCTAGAACCTCTTTAGAACTGGATGGCTTCCTGAAGATGTAAGTCACTTATATAGATATCTGTTGTATGCGATGCCCATAGTAAACTGCTCAACCCTCAGACCTGCATCTCAGTTTCCCTTTGAAGTTTTGTCGAGAGCATTAATTCAAGGCCTGCTGGTGCCAGCTTCTAGGAAGGGTCCAGATGTCATTAATCCCTGCTCTTGAGGAGCCTGTGTTCAGTGAGACTCGTGGGCACAGCCAGGTTAACAAGACAGTAGCAGGAGCACAGATACCTGAGATATACTAGGCCAGACCTGGCCTGATGCATGTGTGCCCACAGGCCTGGGTGTGGGGGGAGTGGGAATAACTGAGGGAAAGCACATAGTTTATCAGAATCAGCTTAGCCTCTTGCTATCAAGCCACTTACTTACCTGCCATTCCCAAAGCTACACTTTTCCCATGTGCAAAAGCAGGAATGGAAACAGTCCCTCTGTGGTAGTATGAAGTGGTGAATGTAACTTGGATGCTTGGCAGGTGCTAAAGGCTCCCACTGCCTTTGCCATATATGGTTTCCCCATCCCCCAGTGTGGGAATGTGGGATAAAAAACAGTACCTAGCAGAGGTTTGTCCTGATCCCTGAACAGGTGTCCCTGGAATGTGTGTACAAAAAAGAAAAATGTGTGCCTGGTTGAGGGGTGGTGAGGTGGCCATTTGAAGAGAATTAAATGTCTTAGACACAGGAGCAACATGCATGTTGATCTAAGGTGCCTGAACGCTCCTGTCATCAGTACTGAGTCATCATGACGGCCCAATTCCAGGATGCAGTGTGTACAGGAAGTGCGCACAGTGCCGGAGCTCCGGTGAGGTTCGGGGTATACACTTCCTGCTTCCTAATGGACAGGAGTGGAGATTATGCTGATGGAGAGCCAGGCTTGTTAAAAATTGCTTTTCTTTCCCTGGTGGTCCTTCAGACCCCAAGAGTACCACTTCCTCTCACCTTCCTCCTGTTCTCCTGGCACAGCCCCTCTCTGTGGGTGCCTGAGTATAGGCCCTGGGCTTGCACTCTGTGGAAAGAGCAGCTGCCCACACACACCCCTCTCTCTCAGCTGCTCTCACCTTCTGTCCTGTGGCAACCCTGGAAATGGGGTCCTTCACAAGGGACTCCTGCCCCTTGGACTGTATTTGTGTGACAGACAAGCTAAAGATGGAAAAGGCTTACCTGACAACTGTTCCCATGAGGATGATGTGACCTCAGGCTGTGTCACTTGTTTGGATAAATGCATTCCAGACAAGGTTGTGAGTCAAGAAAATTGCTAGCCACTATTCACCTTGCTAAACCACAAGTTCCGTTCTATTCTAAATATTGGGGACCTAGGTTGAGTATCTGACTAATAAATCAAGAAAAATTTGCCTGAGAGACTTAAAGGAAAAGATAGTCTGAAATATCATCATATTTGCTCTTTATTTTGAGCTTCTAGTGTGTTCCAGGCACTGTGCTAAGTGCTTCCAGAGATTGAGAGGGATGAACATCATCAGGGCTTTCCCATTGCTCTCAGAGAAGTCCCTCCTCCTTCCTGGCCTCAGAAGGCTCCCTGTGATCTGGCCATTGAGATGACAAGCCTCATCTTTCTAAGCCTCCAGCCTGTTTGCCTAGATCCTTCCCACCTATCCTTCATGTTTCATTTAGATGTGATTTCTTCCTGGAAGCTGTCCCTGATGACCTCCCCCAACACCTGCACGGCTGGTCCCAGGGCTCTGACTTTGTACTGCCCCAGCCCCTGCACTGACCCAGCCCCTGCACTGACCTATGTGAGCACTCTTCAACTCTTATACTTGCCCCTTTGTTTGTTTGTGTCCCTATACAGTATTAAAGCCCAAAGTCAGGGACTGTGGCCCCTGATATCTAGAAGGTGCTCAGTAAATATCTCTTGATTGAAAGAAAAGACAAAACTTGGCGGACCACAACTAAAAGAGTTTATGATGTGGCCTCAAAGAGTAAGATCTGTGCACAGATAATTATAATGTGAACAAGAAAGAGAGTCCCAGATAGTATACTCTGAAAAATCAAGATGGAGAGAGATTTTAAGCAGCAGGAGGGGCAAGAGGGTTGTCTGGAAAGACTTTATGAGAAAAAGAACATTTGATCTGATCCTAGAGAGTAGGCAGTTTCCCCATAGGTACAGCACAAGGGTGTCATCCAAGGCAAATGCCTGAGCAAAGGCCCAGACATAGGAATGAAAAGTTGTACGTGGAGAGTGTGTGTTCCTGGTGTAGGGAAGTATAGGGGCCATCTGGGAGAGAGCCTGGGACCAGAGCTTTGAGGGCACCTCTGATGTTCACCAGCAGCACCTCCCCACAGTGCATGCTCGAGTCATCTTCCTTGTGGTCCTGGGGAACTTTGCCACACAGTTACTGCTGTGCTGCTCACTCCAACGCTGCAGATTCATAAACTCTTCCAGTAAGATGGTTTGACTTCACTCCTTACTGTTTCACACTGGGCTGGCTGCTCATGTTTTCAGGACAGCAGAAGCTGGTAAATGAAGTGCAAGGGTCTCTAAGATGGGTTGGGAAGAGCACTGGATTGAAAATCAGGGTCACTCCAGCTCTGCCATTAGCCTGCTGAGTGTCTTTGAATGAGTCATTTCTCTTCCTGGCAATTTCCTTGTTCATAAACAAAAGATTCAGATGAGAGAACTGAAGTTCCTTTTGGCTTTGCTATTTTGTGACTAGGTGAAAATTCTATATGAATTTCAATTGAAATGAGAAAAGAACACATACAAAATTCCAAGTTAGGGGTTTATTATAAACCTGCAGACTCTCAGGAAGAGAGAGTACTGTGGTTTTGTTTGGTATTGGGGATTGAACCTAGGGGTACTTTACCACTGAGTTACATCCCCAGCCCTTTTAATTAATTTATCTATTTTTTGAGAAACAGAGTCTCAGTAAGTTTTTGAGGGACTTGCTAAATTGCTTAGGCTTACTATCCTCCTGTCTTCAGCCTCCTGTGTGGTTGAAATTATAGGTAAAGCAACTTAGTTAATTGGATAAAAACAAAACAAACCAAAAAAATCAAACAACACATATACAATACCCAGGAGTTCAGAATCATCAACCAAGTTCTTGGATTTTGTTGGCCAATAATTTTGGCCAACAGGGTTTAGAACCATCAGTCAAGAAAGTAAAGGGGAAGATCATCTTGGAAGTCTCCATTACAAGCATATCAAATATTTACCAAGGTTCCCCACAACAGAAGCACCATTGCTGACAAATAGCTAGCCTTGGTTTTTGAGAGTTTCTGCAGTTCGTAAGCAAGCCTCATAGGAATTCTGAGTTGAAAAAAAAAAAATCTTTGAAGATCATCTGTCTCAGTGATTTGTAATTTTTTTCTGCATCTTAGAACCTCTGAGGATTCCAGGCCAGTGTAGTGGGGAGGAGGCTGGCACACACAGTTCTGTGGAAAGTTCCCAGGGGCTCCCACCTGAGCCCACCTGGGAACGCCCAACTTATCCATGGACCACCAGGTTAAGAGCTCCCAATCCATTCAACATTCACAATGAGATGAGAAAACAGAGGCCTGAGTTACAAAACTTTTTGTTATAAAATTGATTCCTAAAGGGAAAGAAGCCAATCAAACAATAAAATCTGAGGGCATGAAGTATAAAATGAAAATTTTCAGGAATGCTCGTGTCCTCAAAGCTTCTGTTTGAGACATGCAAGAGCAGACTATTGCACCAACCTAGGGAAAGGAGAGGAGGGAAGCCATTCAGCTGAAGACCAAAAGAGGTCTTTGGTGACTTCAGAGGGAACATCCCTCAGGATGTGGAAGCGAGCTTAGTTTCCAGAAAGATATGAACAAAGACAAAGGCCTGCTTGGAGAATTGAGGGGAAACTTGTGATGCATCCTACAAGAACATAAAGGAAATTAGAAATGTTAAGATGCTCAAAAGTGGGAGGCATTTTCCTTTGACTCACTCAGAAGGGAAATCT